GATACTTCTGCTTCCAGTTTTCTGAACTGTCTTCTCCATCATTTTCCATAAGAGACTAACTGAACCAGTCTGTACTCCCACCATGAACGGTGGTTTCTTTTTCATTACATCCATACCAGAACTTCACTTTTTCTGGGATTCTTGATATAGGTCATTATCAGTGTTTTGAAGTGACTTCTCACTGTCACTTGACTTGCATTTCCCTGATATAAACAAGTGGAGAATTTTTTTTCATGTGTCTGCTGGCCACCTATCTGTCATCACTGACGAACTGTCTGTTTAGTTCCTCTCCCCATTAATTGATGGGTTTTTTGGTTGTTTTGTGAAAGCTTTATATATCTTAAATATTAGTCCTTTGTCAGCTATATGGTGCAAAATATCTTCTCCCATTAAGTAGGGTATCTTTTAATTGTAGCTGAAATTTCTCTTGCCGTGCAATAAAACCTTCATTTGTGTAATGCTTATATGTAAAATTAAGGGGAAAATGTTTCTATGAGGAGACAAGTGTATGAATCTGCTTTCAAAAAATTAAAATTATATTCACACCAGAGAAAAAAGTGCAAAAAAGGAAAGCTAGTAATTTTACCAGTGATGTTTACCTCCAGCTTTGCTGAATAACTGAGAAGGGATATTTTAGAAATGGAAATTTTGTTATTTGTGAAAACTTCTTTCTAAAGCACAGCTCACCACTTTCAATTAAAAGCCTCAAAGATCGAGACTATTATTTTATGCATATGTAGAACATAAAATGAATTAAATAAAACATAAATATTTTAAACTGTGAGAAGAAGTTAGTGGTTACCAGAAAGGGAGAAGAGGGTGAATAATTTGAGTAAAAGGGGTCAACTCTATGGTAAATGATAAATTTGAACTTTGGTGGTGAATGTGGTATATGCAAATGTCAACCTACTATGATGAACAATGAAAACTAATAAAGTATTATATAATGTGCTGGTTGAAGAGACTGTACAGTGATTAAGATGACTGATTTGCATGCAATGGCCTCCTGAGCACTGTCAGAAGTGATCTCTGAGCAGACCCAGGAGTAAGTCCTGAGCACCACTGTGTGCGCACCTTCTCTTCCTAAAATGTTATAACGTGATTCTGATTCTAAAATTACATGGGGGCGAGAGGGAAGGATTAAAAAAAATAAGTTAAAAATTAAATTCTGCTGATTTTTCATACAGTTGAGAAGTATTTCTCACTTTCATTACATTTCTCTACTGTCTTCCCTAAGAAGACATCCTACTGGAGTCCCAAAATGTGTGTGTGTGTGTACACATTTCTCTATTGCCTCCCTAAGAACACATCCTACTTAAGAGTCCCCAAATCATCTTAGATCTTAGTCACATATATGTGTATGTGCGTGTTCCTACATTATATATAATATGTATTACTCATAATTTTTGAAGTATTTCTCCAGGTAGTTAAAACTTATACTTTGCATTACAAGTGTCATTAGAAACTTTCACCTGTATTTTCGTTGTCAGCTTAATTCCTTACTTAAAGTTTTATTCACTCACCATTTCTGCCAGTTGCTTTGTAGTTGTCACCTTTGTCATCTTCACCCCTAGACCACCAATGATTTCCTTTCTTCACCAAAAATCAAATTTTATTATTTTTATTTTTAGAAAATTTTTTATTGAATTACCATGAGATGGTTACAGACTTACAAACTTTCACGCTTGCGTTTCAGTCATACAATTATCGAGTACCCATTCCTCCACCAGTGCCCATTCTCCACCACCAATGATCCCCCCCCACACCCCAAAAATCAAATTTTAAAATGAAAGTTTTTCAAGCCCCAAAGGTTTTGGTTTAAATGAAATTATTTTGGTTACCAAACTCCCAAAAATGATTACAATGTTATTGTTAAGTGTATATGTACACAGAGAGAACAAGGCAGAGTCTCTACCCTGTGCCTGACTGTCTCCACCAGGGCCCAACAGCTGAAGACCTCCGGGGCCCAGCCAAGGCCATGCTGAGACCACTCTCCACACACTTGGATGAGCCTCACGCATAAAAGAACTGGAAGAGGAACCAGGTGTGTGGGACCCGGGGCTGAGATCTCCAAGCCTGCACGGTTTGGGACTGGACCTGCCAGTAACTAGACAGTTACACCCACCAACTGCCGTGTAACTCCAACAACGGCCAGGATCCAGAGATTATCACACTCAGCTCCCGGGAGAGAACAAGGCAGAGTCTCCTACCCTGTGCCTGTCTGTCTCCACCAGGGCCCAACAGCTGAAGACCTCCGGGGCCCAGCCAAGGCCATGCTGGGACCACTCTCCACACACTTGGATGAGCCTCACGCATGAAAGAACTGGCAGAGGAACCCAGGTGTGTGGGACCCGGGGCTGAGATCTCCAAGCCTACACGGTTTGGGACTGGACCTGCCAGTAACTAGACAGTTACACCCACCAACTGCCGTGTAACTCCAACAACGGCCAGGATCCAGAGATTATCACACTCAGCTCCCGGAAGCGACATCTTATCATCTCATTCCTACTTTGGACAAACTGACAGGCTACCAAATGTAACCTGCCCACACGGCAGAGTCTGGCAAACTCCCCGTGACGTCCCCAATATGCCAAATACCAGTAACAATGATGGGTCTCATTCTCCTAACCCTGAAAAAAGCCTTGAATATGGCACTTTTAAAAAAAATCTCAGGGCTAGGACGAAGAAGACATTACTGGCACCTGCTCAAGGCAAACGACGAACAACAGGGTGGTCGTGATCGTGATCGTGATATGTACACAGTGCCCAAATATAAGACACTTGAAAGGAACGGTTGGATCTGTACTTTTATGAGGATATATATTTTTAAAAAGTTAATTGGCTAATTTGAAATATTTTTTAAGTTTTCGTCTTTGAAAAAAACTGGGTGTGGGATGAGTATAACCAGCAGTCCTCAGGGCTTATTCTTTGCTCTGAACTCAGCAATCACTCCTGGCAGGGATTAGGGGAAGCACATGATTGAACACATTATGAAACACATGATACGAAGAACATGGATTGAACCCAGTTTGTGAGCAAGGCAAGAGCCCTACTTATAAACTATTTCTCCAGACCCTAGTCTTTGAAAATTAAGTGCACTGTTAACCTATTAGTTATATTTATGTCTTACTTTGTGAAATGTCCATTCACAATTTTGCCCCCTTGTTTTTATGAATTTGTGTGATTCTAAGTACATGTTCTGTGCCAAGAAATACATATTGCAAGCATCTCCAACCACTTTATGCCTTTTTACTCTTAACGGTGGCTTTACTATATTATGTTTTTTCTTAAATCTTTAAAAAGGGATTTACACCACATATAATAACCAATTGTTGGTCAAATGTTTTGCCTCCTTTAATAATGACTGTGACTGGTAACTTTTACTAAAATATTAGGTTATTTGTTTGCTAAAAAGTTGTTGAGAGGGTTCTTTATGAGAGACTTTGAGAAATAATTTTTTCTTAGTAGAGAAAAACATTTCTTTCCAATTTTTATTTAGGCATCATGATTTACAATACTGTTTGAGTTTCAGGCATATAATCTCTCAACTCTATATCCACAAATAATGTCAGTGTCCCTTCACCAATTATGTCTTAAGGTTCTTTCCCCTTCCCTTTGGTAAACTCATTAAAAAAAATTATTATAGTTTGTATCAATGTTTACAATACTGTTAGTGATTATGGTTTCAGTGTATACCTTGATGAAACCAAAATATCCAAGACCCTTGGCTTTTTGTTACATTCAGTCCATTCTCATTGTTCCTCCCTCCCCATACCCCCCACCCCTTACTTGACATTCTCAATACTGAAATTCAGAGTCAGAGAAAACATTTTATATTCTTACATACATAAGACCTTATCTTTCCCCAGCCCACAGCTGCAGTATGTAAAAGCAAGCTCAAATGTTCTGGTTTTCTATATACTCTCAGCGGTCTGTTATAATCTATACTAATACACTTATTTGCCTTTATTCTTTAATTTTTAAAAATTCCCATTCCCCAGTACCTTCCCTTCACTGAAGAAACTGTTTTTATGATTGGGTTTAGCACACACATCTGGCTGTGATGCTCACACATTTTAGTTTTGGTGCTCACTAGCGTTCTCTTGGTTGAGGCACACAAGTTATCATTGTGGTGCTTGCTGGAAATCATCGTGGCGCTTGTCAAGAGTTGTACTTTCTGGCTGTGGTGCGTGTTTATCTTTTACAGTTTACACCCACTTTTGTGATGTTATATACACCTGTCTGTGATGTGGAAAGAAATCACTTGAGTGACCAGTGATCATAGACAGTAGAGCTACCAGGTTCAAACAGCAGAGATGTCAGGATTGGGCTTGTCGCACCGGAAATCTGAGCTCATGATTATATGCTGGCAAGGCAGGTACTCTAAGCACAGTAGGCAGGACTCAGCATTTGTCATTATTACAGTTGTAACTGGCTATGACCGTAGTTATTTACTGAATAGTAACATGTGTGTGCATTTAACTTACAAAAAGGCAAAGCATCTATTTTCTTTCTTTGTTTTTGCAGATCATACCCAGACTTCTGGCTCTGTGCTCAAGGATCACTCATGGTGGGGCTCCGGGGACCACAAAGGATACCAGGCATTGAACCTGGATTGGCTGTGTGCAGGGTAAGTGCCTTGCCCACTATACTATCTTTCCAGCCCCACAAAGCAACTATTTTTTCTACATGTAATTGATTAAGTTACAGTTTACAGCCATTGAATCATATACTAATATAGGAGTTTCTATGAAGAACTTTGGAGATCACCTCAGTGAGTTAAGACTGTTTACAAAGCAAGACTGAATGTTCCCCAAGGGAAAAAAAACTGTCTTATGAAAAACAATTTCAGCTTATGCCCCTGGAGTTGCAACCAGCTTGTAAACTTCCCTTTCCAAAGATCTGTCCTATGGACACTGGACTTTCTTCGCCAGCCTCCTCCCACATCTGCCAGTACCACATAAGCCAATCTCCGAAAATAAACCTAATGTATCAGTCAATTTCCTGCTAGTTCACTGCTAGTTCATTTTCTCTGATTAAATGCTCAAATAGTACAATGATTTTATGGTCACACAACTGCTTTTCTTCATGAAATACACCAACACACACAAATATGAATCAACAATCTTTTTCATAAAACACAAGACTGTTTAGTCTAGGACCATTTTGTGTGGAACTCACCAAAAGTTCAATTTGGACTACTGACACTTAAGTTCTAATTTTTAATACTATCTTTTTATACATGTTTATTAAAATCAAATCATTTTTATGTAGTATTCATTTTAGAAATTTTAAGAACTTTATCTTCAATTACAATGTGATATGCATTCTTTTTGAATGTTTAAAATATATGACTTTTGTATCTTCATCAGAAATATCTGGTTGTTTTCTTTGAAAGCAAACCAACTCCACCTATTATGTTTCATAAATTTGTCCATCAGGTTCTTAAAGAAACAATCTGGAATTTACAAAAGACATTACTTTCTCTTGATGAGCATGCCACACTAAAATTTCTGCACATAAATAAGGCAAAGTATCTGTTAACAGAAACATGAAATTTACATGCTTTATCATTTAGCTACTTTCAGAATGAATATTTTTATCTCTTGAAGCTCCCACAACCTAAAGTAATCAAATATCTTTGGTTTAATAGGTAAAAAAAAAAAATTATTGGATTGGGTTTTAGAAATCTGATTCAATTCTTAGCTATATGATGAATAACTGAAACAATGTGAAACTCACATACTCATTCTGCAGCTTTCCTTAGTCATACCTAAAAATCATTGCTTAAGAGCCAAGCAGTTACTAGACATTAGAGATTGAATGATGAGACAGTAGAGATAGAATGAAGTACATGATAAAAACAGTTTATGCACATGTCTTCAGAGGTTTACACTCTGGAAAGGTGGGAAATTTAAGCAAATTGCTTCAAACCTTATTGTGTGGGTTGAGTATTATATTCAAATTCTGTAGCCTAAAGTCAATATTATACTAATTTCTATATTATATTGAAAAAGGCTGTAAAGTATTAAAGATTTCTGATGTGATGATTTGTAAAATAGCTTAATTCAGAAGCAGGTCTTACAAATTGATTCTGAAGATAAAATATTTTTAGAATTATAAAATTCAATGTTTTGAAATATTTTTCCTTGCAATTCTATTACCATTTTTAGAATCCTGAGGAGATTCTCTTATTGAAGCTTTTTATGCATTCAGATATTTTGCATGATGTCTGATGTGATCATTAATAAAGGTTGAAATGAAGTAGTAGCTATGATCATAACCCTAGAAGACAAAAGAGATCACAGATTATCTACCACCCAGAAACATCAATATTAAGACATTAAGCAGCATATCTTTTGCGTTAATTTGCTCATAAACAGCTGAAATATGAAGAAAGCTCCTTATGATCAAAATCAATCTTTTCATATGTGAACTTTAACATTTTTCACTGTTCATTAAGAAAGCTCCATAAATACACTCTGTACAGCTTAGTTTCTAAGTGCTGCAATTAACATGAAAAGAAAAGAAAAAGAACACAAACTATATGTACAGAGATGACAAACAATTCTATCAACAAAAGTTAAGAGAACTAGAATTTAGAGAACTTAGAGGAGCAAAAAGTTTTAACTCACAGAAACAACACAGTAATATAAATAAAAGTTAAAATTATCAGGCAAAATAAGCATGATAAAAAATACACATTACATTTTCTCTGCTTTTACTGTAGTTTTTAAAAGAGACTGACTTAATGGATTTTGTTGCTAAGGGATGTTCAGAATCAGGAATCATTTATTTTCCTTCAAATAAAAATACTGTAGGAAGTGGTATTCTTTGCATGGGTTTAAGATAGCTATGCTTGATCCCAATGATTTTGTATTTTTTATCATGCTTTTTTAATGACAGTGGCGCTCAGATATAGTGCTGAGGGATCCCTCTGGGAGCCTTTTATCAGGACTCTCTGGAACACTCCCTACATGGTGCTATCCATTTGTTTTTATCAGTTAGTTATAAATCCTTTCCTTCTTCCCATGGAGGTCTTAATCCTGTTCTTTCCTTCCGTAACCATACCTCTCCTTTTAAATTTCTATGCATTTTGGAGGGATCATCCATAGATGAAGCTAATAGAATATAAATTCTTTGTTTTGCCTTTGTACTGGACCCAGAGCAAGTACCCTGCCTGTTATATTATCTCTCTGGCCCAATTTGTGACTCATTACAAATAGCTATAGAGATGACAGGATGGCATTTGCAAGCAAATAACTTTGCTTCCAGCCTTGATTCTACCATAAACTAGATAGGTGAGCTAAGATAAGCTCTAGTTCTCTATGCTTGCCTCAGATCTGTGAAAGAAATAAACAGGAATAATTTGTGAAAATTCATATAAATCATTCTTAGTGGTGAAATACTGAAAGTTTTTCCTCTAAGGTGAGAAACAAGAGATGATAGCTGCTTATGACACTTCTATTCAACACAGTACTGGGAGTTCTAGCCAGATCATTAAAAGAAAAAAAATAATAATAAAAGTCATCTACAACAAAGAGATAAATGATCTCTGTGAATAGATAGTATGATCTGATATACAGAAAACTACAAAGACTGCACAATAACCGCTAGTGTTAATAAACTGAATTCGGCAATGGAGCAGAATATAAACAGTTGCATTTCTGAACATTATAAATATCTGAAAAAGAAATTATGAACAATTCTATTTACAGCAGCATTAGAGAGATTTAGAAACTACCATAACCTAGCAGGTGAAAGACATAAATTAAAATGATGAAACACTGCTTACAAACAATGAACAAAAGAACACAAAAATAAAGAGAAACACACTGCTTGTTCATGGCTTAGAAGATAATGTTAAGATGTCTATACAAACCAAAATAATCTATAGACTCAATTTAATACCAGTGATATAAAAAATCCAGCCTGGACTCATGATTCAAAATTCATGGGACATAAGAGTTTATTATTTAGGCTTTATTTTTAGGAACGTAATTCATCTTGAGTTTTTGTATATGATGTTATATAAAGACTCACTTTCATTTCTCTGCATGTGAATATCCAGTTTTCTGGGTACTCTTGTCAAAAATCACTTGATTATATGTGCAAAGATTTTATTTATTCTACTGCTTTTATCAGTATGAAATCAATATCAAGCTCTATTTTGATTGGTATGTCTTAAAATCAAGATGCATAAGAATCCAAGCTCAGCTATGAATTTTGAATCAGATCTATCTATTCTGAAACATTTTACATGCATTATATTTGGTTTCTTATATGTACTCTGCAAAATGTAGCAGAATTTGTTCTGGTGGTGTGGACATAGGGGGACACAGAGTGAGTGGTGCTTAGGCCTCTGTAATCAGGGATCACTTGGCAGGCTCAGGGACCTTATAGGATGCCAGGGATCAAACCTGGGTCAGGTCAGCTCTATTATCTATCTGGGCCAGATATTTTAAAATTATAACTACATTACTATAGAGCTGGATGAATAGTCAATAGTCAAGAGTATTTTATTCACGGAAAATTTGTGAAAAATGAAAGTCAGAAAATTATTCTTAATTAGATATACCAAGCAGTACTGCAGATAGATCAGCATCTAAGTCAAACAATACAAAGTATAGATGTGCGTTAGAGATGAACAATACACACTTCTAAGGTTGTAATGGAGAAGACGTTGTAAGATTTCCTAGTACTTGCCTCTTGTAATCTAAAAACCACAGGAATTTTCTTTTCTGTGCAGGCTGCGATAAAGTTATCAGGTAATAACTGTCCATCTGAAAGAAACTGGTCATCTTTTCCTTGATCAATTAGTATGTCCAGCTGAGAACCTGGATAAGATGTCACAAGATGGGTAGCATCGTAAGTCTATAAAGAGAAGAAATAAGTGTACAAAAAATAAGATTCATTAAAATTTACTCTTCTATAACCAAATAGAAATTCAAAGTTATTTGGAGTTGTGGAAATAGTAGTAAGTAGCACAATGGTCAGGTTGCTTGTCTTTTATGCAACCTACCAACGCTGGATTCCCAGTCCCCTGAGCCTGCCAGGAGTGATCACTGAGTGCAGAACCAGGAAGCACTGCTGGGTTTGTCCAAAACAGCAACTCAAAGTTATTTAAGCTCTGAGGTTGATTAAATCATAACGATGATTTTAAAGTGGCTTATAATCTGTTTTTATTTTCAAGGTCTTCAAAATTCTATTTCCCCATTACAGTTTATTTTAAAACAGTTATAGACCAGGGGTTGGAGCAATAGCATAGCGGGTAGGGTGTTTGCCCTGCACGTGGCTGACCCGGGTTCGATTCCCAGCATCCCATATGGTTCCCTGAGCACCGCAAAGGTTAATTCCTGAGTGCAGAGCCAGGAGTAACCCCTGTGCATCGCTGGATATGACCCAAAAAACAAAAACAAAACAAAACAAAACAAAACCTAGTGGCAAACGACAGAACTGGAGGTGTGGGGAATTAAGTTAGTAGTCTTCAATCATGGGGTCAAGAAACAGTGACAGCCCACTGGTGAAGAGAGGTTGAAAACCACTGGTCTACTGCCTAAATTGTAATTGCTGGTCCATGTTCCATTATGAGTGACAGGTGCTGGTCTGCAGGTCAAAAAAAATGCTGCTCAATAAAATATATACAAAAAACAATTCATAATACATACCTGAAACTTCTATGTCATAATGCAGTGCTTTTTAAAGACTCTAGTCACCTCTCAATTTGAAATAAAAAATGCATTTTTCTTGGTAAATCATTTCACAAACTAAATTTATCTTCTAACTCCTTCATACTTCTGTTCATAAACATTCTCTATTTCGATTAATTTTTTTTTGCCTCTTTTGATTCTCATTCCAGGCCTAAATACATAAAGCCTCACTTAAACTCTCATCCACTCATGTGCACTAAAAAAATTTTGTTGGAAACACTTACATACTTATTCATTTTACATATTACATAAATATACATCAATAATAGCTTTTTTCCACAAATTTCAATTCATAAATTAAAAAAATTCAAATCGGAGATGCTGCATTTTGAAAGAGATACAGAATATAACTTAAAAGTCAGGTCTTGGTTTTTATAGTGCTATAGTTATTAAAGGTTAAAGTTTAGTAATAATATATAGTACCTTTGGTAATGTTAATATAAGAATATTTTAAACTTAAGCAATAGAAATTAAACACTGGCAAAAAGAAAGTAATCTCAGAATATTAAGCAAAATACAATGCAACTAGAAAGCAAGGGTTTCTGTTGTTGCTCTTATAGCTGTGTGTTTTTCTCCTAATTATTTTTAGCACTGAATCCCTAAGTTGAATGGGCTTGGAATGTAATATTTAGAATGTGCATCTTTTTTGCTTTGTTTTTGTGGTACCATGGATAGAACCAAGCACTCGCAATGCCTGCCTGTCCTTTGCCAACTACAAGACCAAGATGACTGCCCTCGGACGTCCTGATAGATCTATCACATGTTCCAGAAGGGCAATGGAGAAGATTATCCATGACTTCTACTTGGATCTCTTCGACAGCCATGTCCACCTGCCCACATACCAAATTCCGCAGCATGGTATGTTGTTCCCAACGTTCTTCCTTCCAAAATCCGACACGCCATTTCGTTGGTAAAGAAGCGAACAGAGAGAAGAATGTAGAATACAGGAGCAAGCACAGAGAGAGAGAGAAAGAGAGAGAGAGAGAGAGAGAGAGAGAGAGAGAGAGAGAGAGAGAGAGAGAGAGAGACCAGGCTGCAAGATGGAGCGTGGAGAAATGACCGGGAGAAACAGAAGGACACGGGAACGAGGCAGTGGAAACTAGAATGGGAGGCTCAGAGAGACTGGGGAGAATGGAATAAACAACAACTGATCAATCAACCACCATGGCCCCATTCAAACATGGGCGGAGAGGGGGATATCCTGGGCTCTGCCTGGCAGCCCCCATTTTTTACAGCTGGAGTCCCTGGAGCAAGCATGAACTACCAACTAAAGGATATCCATTTGTATTGTAGCTTCCCGGTGTCTCTTTCTTACCTCCAGGCAAGGAGACCAAACAGTGATGGTCAAAGCCTCTGATAACTATTAAAAAGTGTTTTTCCACCCAAGAGTGGCAGAGGTTAGTACCAGGAATTTTGCTCCATGGCTTGGAGGCCAGTCACACATGCTAGGGAAAAAGGGAGCTCAGATAGAGAAGGGAGCACCAAATAAAGGGTGTTGGGAGGATCCTCCCAGGATGGGAGAAGCATGCTGAAAGTAGACTATACACCAAACGTGATTGCCACTCAATGCCTCTCTTGCAAACCACAACACCCAAAAGGAGAGAGAGAACAAAAGGGAATGCCCTGCCACAGAGGCTGGGTGGGATGAAGGGGATGGAAGGGGTGGAACAGTTACTGGGATCAGTGGTGGTGGAGAATGGGCACTGGTGGAGGGATGGGTACTCGATCATTGTATAACTGAAACCCAAGCACAAAAATTTGTAAGCTTACAACTGTACCTCATGGTATTTCACTAATAAAAATTAAAAAATAAGATAAATAAAAATAAAAAGTGTTTTTCTCAAACATGAGCTAGGCTGTGCAACTGTGACTGCCGATGAACCTGACCAGAGAATGGATGCATCTCCCTGTTGAAGTACTCCTGCCAGAAGTTGTGATGCTCCTGCTCCAGTCTTCCCGACTGATCCAGTGCTTCTTGAAATTTATCGAACTCCTAATACCTGCTCCTCTGGGGCTCATTGCTGCAACTACTACTGATGCTGTTACAGGAACACCACTTCAGTTTTGATCCAGACACTTCATTTTTTTAGAATGGGATTAAATAACTCTCATCATTGGTGACCCTTATCACCCCTGGACAGTGCAGGACAATTGGACGTTTTACTCAAGCACTGCTCTGGGCCCAGGGTTGGACTGAAATCTTACTATAACTAATGAGACTGTTTTGTATTTGGAATTGTTCCCGTTTCAAATTTTGTGGGTTTTTTTGTAAAAAAAAAATGGGGGGAGATGTAGGATAACACTGTTTTGTCCTTCTTGCATAGCCTCAGGTATTTTAGGTTTATTGGGTTGCTCCCATCACAGTGCTCCCATTCCTCTGTGTTTATTTGTAACTTTCTTTGTGCTCTGTTGACTTGTAAATATTTTTTTCCTCTTCTCCCTAAGTCCTTTGCATAGTTTATTCAGAACAGTGTCCTTTTTGTATGGACACAAGAAGACATGCTTCTGTAATGTGACTCTCGGTAATATTTCCCTCCTGGGCATCTGTTCTCTCACCTAAGCCTCAGCTGCCTTTACTTCCTAACACCCCCCCCAAAGCAGGGTCCTGACGAGGGACTGGATGAAACCAGGGCAAGCGGTAAGCTAGGTGCTACCCTGGCATTGAGATGGGCCTAGCCAAAGCGCCATAATACTTAACTATTAAGTTAAGAGCTTGGTCATGGACAAATGCGGTCATGATCCAAAAGTAATAACTAGATTTGGACCCTGCTAGGGTTAGGAATGATTAATCTGGCCTGAGCACTGTAGTCTGAGTCTGTGGCAAGAAGTTCCCAGGAGAACTGCCCTACAAGTCTCAATGTTATCTCTTACTGTGTGCATAAAAAAATAGCTAGTATTGATATGTTGATATCAATACTGGATTGAGGAAAAGAGAAAAACACCTTAAGGGGCATTTTGCCCTTGGGCAGTCAGGAAGGGCTTTGTAATATCCTAGGTGGTGTTCCCTTTGAACTTGGTGGGCCCTTGGGAAGGGCTTTCTTATGTTGATTTGGCCACCTGACTGGGAGCAGTGTCTGCCTGAAGATTCAGATAAAGGAATTGGATGCAAGAGAGCTGCAGAGAGGAGCAAGCAGAGGGCAAGATGGACCAGAGAGACTAGCAAGAGGGACAGAGAGAGAAGAATGTACAACTATCGACCAATCTGCCCATTGTCTGTTGTCTACAAGCTGTTCTCTCGAAATAGGATTGGCAGAAAACTAGATAAAGGACAACCATGCGAGCAAGCTGGGTTCTGAAAAGGATTCAGCACAATCAAGCATATCCACACAAAATCCAAGCTCACTGAGGTTTCATAGGAGTTCAAGATGCAGATCTGTCTGATTTAAAGAAGGCCTTTGATTCTGTTGAAACTGACGCAATCATTGAAGCCCTAGCCAAACAGGGGGTTCAAACTCAATACATCAGGATCCTCCGTGAGCTGTATTACGGATTCACTATCAGGATGTCACCATTCTACATGGAAGTGATCATCCATGTCAAGAGAGGGGTTCGGCAAGGTGATACTATTTCACTGAAACACTTCAGTGCCACCCTCGAGAACGTCATGTGACGACTGGAATGGGAAGGAATGGGAGTGAAGATAGACGGATGGCAACTACACCAACTCCACTTCACCAATGTCATTGTTCTAATAACACCAAACATTCGCCAAAGGGCACAAATGCTGGCCGACTTCGACCATGAGTGTGGAAAGGTTGGACTACAGCTGAATCTCACAAAGACAATGTTTAAGAGAAACAGTCTCGTTCCTGACGATCCATTTGCTCTCAATGGAATGAACATCTCCGAATGCAACAGCTATGTGTACCCACTTCGAGAAGTCAACATGATGAATGACCTGGCACCTAAGTTGTACAGGAGAGAGAGAGCGGCTTGGAATACCTTTAAGAGCCTTGAAGAAATAGCTAAGAGGATTAAGAACCTCCAGCTCCAGGCACATCTCTTTGATTCCACTGTTTTTCCTGCATTAGCATATGCCTCAAAGACCTGGACTCTACCGAAACAGGATGAGAACACTATTTGGGTCTCTCAAAGAGGAATCGAAAGAGCTATGCTTGGAGTATCACGCTTCACTCAAATGAGATAAAGAATCCGGAGTTCCAACCTCCGTCGACGGTCAAGAATCAGGGACGTGGTCTCATTTGCCAAGGCATCAAAAATCAGATGGGCTGGACACGTAATGAGATTTGGAGAGGACCGCTGTACTCCACAGACTGGATTTTACCATTCATTACCGACTGAATTCCACGGGACGTCAAAGATCACGTGGCCGCCCACCTATGAGATGGTCAGATTTCTTCGTCAAGATCCTGAATGATGGGTTTGAGGCTCTTCGTGTTCCTGGAGCAAGCAGATGCCATTGGGCTCCACTAGCACGCAACAGGGACAAATGCAGACATTAGTGGTGCCTGCTTGAGCAAATTAATGAGTAACGGAATGTCAAGTGATCAAGTGATAGATAGAACCCAGAACTTCTCACATGCAAGACAAACTCTCTACCACTAAGTCAAATTCTTAGCCATTGTCAGGATACTGATCTCTGAAAAATCTGAGAACTTCTAGTACGTACCTTCCATTTACTTTGATCTGTTCCTAAGTATCCACCAAAGGCTTTTTTGCCCCAAGGACACAGCACCGGATTACAAATTGGAGCAAATGCTGACACAGACTTCAAAAACAAAAGAACATTTAAAAACATATTACGTTTTTGTTTAATCAAATATTAACAGTAAGCTAATTTTAAAATAATCAAAATCAAATCTGTAATGGAATCAAAAGTTATCTGCAACTGATTTGTCATGAAAACTCCCATATACAATTTCCTTTTATTGTAAGCTTACATCATAGGTCTCCACAATATAACATCTTTTACATACTATTGTTTTATTATGAAAACAGACTGTGCTAAAATTCTGCAGAGAATACATTATATTTTCACTAAAGCATAATGAATGCTTATGTTCAGAGTTTCTATAGTGGTTCATTACTTACATTTAATATACAATGATATTAAACAGTAATCAGTAATTTTTAATGTAAATGAACATATTATTAAATATCAATATCAATATTTCTCTTCTATGGTGCTATAAAAACTCTTAAGCAATGCTTAAGACATAGGACAAAAATTTTAAATATAATTTTGTGTTCTGTGCAATAGCACAGTGGTAGGGTATTTGCCTTACACGCAGCCAGCCCAGCCGAGCCGGGTTTGATTCCTCCGCCCCTCTCAGAGAGCCCGGCAAGCTACCGAGAGTATCTTGCCTACATGGCAAAGCCTGGCAAGCTACCCGTGGCATATTCAATATGCCAAACACAGTAACAACAAGTCTCAAAAATGGAGACGTTACTGGGCCCGCTCTGCAAATCAATGAAAAACGGGAGGACAGTGTTTGTTTCTGTGCAATGTACCTCTTTTCACTTGAAAGATACAAAGGAATCAGTTTCAGAGTGCTTGTCAATGTGTATGCTTGCCCATGTCTACTAAATTTTTAAAACACTAAAAATAAATTCCTTGCCCTCAAATATAATAAATTGCCTTATGTATAAAAAAACTACTTAAAAATCCACTGCTATGACATGGATTAAGTTCAACTTTGTAGTAAAGCTTATCTTTAAAGAAAAACTATTTAGTACCCCAAGAAACTGTTAAGAGAAATATTTTTATTTCTCACTGGCACAGCTTAAATGATTGGCTGAAAGTTCCTCCTACAGGAAAAAAATGAATTAAACTAATCTTGAGGTTTCTGATAGCTCTGTGATTTTAAAAACAGACAGCAATTGTAAGATGTCCATAATTAAACATTTCCTTGAACAACATTATAGTATATTATGAAATTCTCTATATGATAATTTAAGTTGGTTCACTGAAACAACAAAAAAAAAGCTAAGATCAATGGGAAATCTCAATTATATTTTATTTTCATCAAAGGTATTGAACCGTACATAAAAGGGTTACCACATCCAGACTCTGCACAAGTTAAGGGCTCAAAACACTGATGTACATATGCGCATTATAGTTCTCAAAGTATACCTAATATTAGTTATTTTCAGTACTCTTCCAATGATGAAAATCTAAGACTAAACAATAAAACTTTAGTGACTACAGAATTTTAATACTTATCTTTTACAATTTAATCATGAGCAATCCCATTTACAATTATATCAAAAAGATAAAACAGTTGCTGGGATGATATTTCATAGGGTTGGAGTGCATTTCTTACAATCATGAGGCCCTAGGCACATGCTTCCTTCATACTGCATAACCACCCAAGGACCACCAAGGATAGCCCTGGGGACTCCTGAGCACCACTGGACCTAAGCTGATGACCTAAAGTCATCAAACCCACATCACTAATCCGAGTAATGCCCAAAATAGCAGTAGTAGTGCTTGGGGCTCCCCAAATCAGTGTGGAGGTCTCCTTGTGGTCAAACCAATTTAAAAACTCTGTAGTACAACATAAAAAGGCTGTACGTAAACACACATGTATGTGGACATCTAAATCTATGACAAAGGAGTCAAGACCATGCAATGGAGAAAGAAAAGTATCTTTAACAGTGTGGGGGAAAGTGAACGGCCACAAGCAATAATAAAACTTTTTAACACTATATACAAAAATTCAAAATAGATCAAAGACATGGCTGTTAAGACTCCCAAATCATAAAACACATAGAAAGAAAAAAAATCATAGATAATTCACTTGTAAATTTCAGTCTAAAAGATGTGTTCATAGACTCAATCCATACGCAAAAATAAGCAGATACATCAAAATAACCCTCACAGATATTCCTATTAAGATATAAACAATACATGCTGACATAATAAAAGTTATTCCTTAACTTTTAGGGGAAAATACCTAGAAAACTACATATTGAGTAGATGTAATGAAAACAGAAGATACATTTAATATGCTTCTAGAAGATCTGTAGCACTGTCATCCCGTTGTTCATCAATTTGCTGGAGCGGGCCTAGTAACGTTTCCATTGTGAGACTTCTGTTACTGTGTTTGGCATATCAAATACATCACGGGTAGCTTGCCAGGCTTTGCCGTGTGGGTAGGATACTCTCGGTAGCTTGCCGGGCTCTCCGAGAGGGGTGGAGGAATTGAACCCAGCTCGGCTGGGCTGGCTGCGTGCAAGGCAAACACCCTATAGTTGTGCTATGGCTCCAGCCTATCTAGAAGATCAACCAAAAAAAAAAATCACCATGACAGAATTCCTATACTTCTGATTCTGTAGCAGGTATTGTATAGTAAAATTTACTACTACTGCCCATAGCCGTTCAAGCCCCCTATACTAGAAAAGACAAATCCAAATACAATATCCTAAGTGAAATAATTGTCACTAGAAGCTTAAATAGCTTACTTTATATTTTCCAGGATTCTTCAAAGTACAAATCAGAGCTCCGTGGCCTCCCATTGAGTGGCCAAAAATGGACATCCTTTCGGGATCCACTGGAAAATTGGCATTTATAAGCTGGGGAAGCTGGAGAAAATTTATAGTGATAAAAGATATGAAAGAAATGCTTAGACTTTTTCAGGGTTATATAAAATTACACAAAGTTTCAAAAGCAGTCTTTTAATGGCTTACATTAGGAAAGATTTATTTTAAATCTCAGATAAATAATTGTTATTTCTATATCACTGGATAATATATAGTACATCTTCTTTAGCATCTTTGTCACAGTGAGGAATTTTACAATCTTCTAAATTTTTTAAGTTACTAAACCTAATAACTTTAGTATTAAAATCTATCCTAAGGGAAAAGTTCTATCGAGATCAGGAGATGTGAGAGGAGGCAATTATACAGAAAGATGCAAAGATAATTCAGCAATTTCATGATAAAGTATATTTATAAAACATAAATATAATATTGAGAAAAAGTAAATTATTACACGTCATAATATTCTACAATCACCAGACTACAAATTAACATTACCTCCTCTGTTACGTAAGAATACATTCTGTAGTTAGTTTTCCATGGATTTTCAGTAGCATCCACATAGAAACCAGCACCAGTACCGAAGTCCCAGTTCTCATCTTCTCCTTTAATATTGCAGCCACCTGTAAAGAGAAAAGTCTTGTGGTTTCATCTACTCAGTAGTAACGACCAGAGTATTTTCTATGTTTAATGCTATGTTAAACATTTTACTACATTTCAAGCATGAAATGTTTTGCCTTTCTAAAAAACACCTGTGAAAAGAAATGGACTACTTTCCAAGGCGAGTCACTTACATTATAGAGAATTTTAGCTGTCATTCAAATTCCATTTTCTGACACTTCCAGCATTACAACATAAAATTTAACTCCAATGAATTAAGTTTGCAAAGGTTTGATTCTCTCTCATGGGATCATGCGATGCAGGGCGGAATCGGCACGTTCTTCCCATCCCGTGGAGACCACGAATCACCCCCCCCACCCCACCCCCACCGGCTCTCTGGCATGGCCATAGCCCCAGAGGCACATGGACCTAATTCGGAGCCCAGCAGCTGTTGGCAGAACTGTGAATGGACTATGCATTAAGCTATGGTGCCATGGCCCCCGGGAGGGAAGGGGTGTCTTTCTCTTCCGCCTTCCACCACCTCCTTCCATGGCACAGTGGCCGCCATCTCAGAGCTTATTGGACAGCCAGGCATAAGCTGGTGGTGACGGGGCAACTGCGGCCTCATGGGATGGGGGACAGAACCGGCACATCCTTCCAGCCCCACCAAGACAAATTGTCTGCCCCCCTCTGGCACGGCCATGGACCCAGAAGCACACAAACCAATCTCGAACTATGGCTTTTGGCAGAAATCCCTCCAGACTTAATTAGTAAAATATCAGAAATTCAAAACCAGCAATAGAAAACAAATTATTTCATGATGCCTTTTCAGCAAGTCTAATTGTTGGGGGGAAATTCCAAATAATCATGGTGCAACTTTTGTCAAAATAATGAATGTAATCAAAGTAGAGAGAAAGTTAAGTGGAAATCATCTGCCTCACAGGCATGGGAAGGGGTGAGATGGTGGGTATTTTGGGGTTCTTGGTGATGGAAAATATGCACTGGTGAAGGGATAGGTATTTGATCATTGGATGACCGAGACTTAAAGCTTTGTAACTGTTCTCCCGGTGATTCAATAAATAAATTTAAAAAAAAAAGGTTTAATTCTCATTTCTCTAATGTGAACATTTTAATCATTTTTTATCAAAATATTTACCAGTATGATTGAAGACAGGAGAAACAATTATCATGTCATAACAGCTTATTATATAGCACAATCTCGTACCTACTATGTAATTTTGACACATGTAGTCATATTATTTAAGAGTCAATTTGCCCAATTTCTCAGTTTTAAAGTATCTTAATCTGTAAAGTAGGAATAATAAAACTGTCTTCTCTCTTACAGCCATATCAAGAAAAAAATTTTAAATGAGAAAATATATAGCATATATTTTAGTCATAATGTCACTTGAAAAAGTAAAAAAATAGTGTGGGGGCAGAGAAATAGTACAACAGGTGAGGAACTTGCCTTGCATGGGGATGACTTGGGTTTGATCCCTGACACCACATAGGTCCCCTAATCTCACCAGGAGTGATTCCTGAGTGCAGAGCCAGTGAGCTCTGAGCACTGCTGGGTATAGCCCCCAAACAAATAAACAAAAAATCAAGTAAGTGAATTATATTTTAAAAAATTAAAGGCCCTCCCGTTGATCGTCGATTTGCTCGAGCGGGCCCAGTAACATCTCCATTGGAGACTTTGTTGTTACTGTGTTTGGCATATCGAATACTCTCGGTAGCTTGCCGGGCTCTCTGAAAGGGGCGGAGGAATCGAACTCGGGTCGGCCATGTTGGCCGCTTGTAAGGCGGATGCCCTACCGCTGTGCTATCGCTCCAGCCCAGTGAATTATATAATGTTTATAATATACCATGTATTACTTAGCACTATAATTCTTTTATCTTACAAAGATCCAATAAACAAAATACTTACGGGGGCTGGTATCTGGAGCAATGACAACAAGGCCATGTTCTGAGGCAGCTTGATGATAACCAGATTTTGATATAAAATTCTGTTCTGTGCAAGTTAAACCTAAGATAAAAAAATATTATTTCATGATAAACTTTTTTAATAGCACGATAACAAGGTTGGACATTATTTTATAATTTTTTAAGGAAACAATTCTAAATAAAAAAGTAAAGTTCTTTTTCTTATGTTTTATGATAGCATTAGTCTAAGAATTATCTTAGGTGAAATGCTCCCACAGTTGTCCTATTAAAGTCACTAATTAAAGTTACAATTATTGAAAATTCCTTAGGACCGAATGTGTTGAAAAATTCAGTATTTTTCCTATTATACTATACAAAGCATCAGGACTGGGCCTCCTCCACCCAGATCCCCCATCTTCCAGTAGCTAGGTGTTAAACCCACCAACTTCCCCCCCCCCCCCGCCCCCCCCGTGCTGTGTAATCCCATTAATGGCCAAGACCCAGAGACTATAAAACTAAGCTCTTATCGTCTCGTTCTCACTTTTTGGAGTACCCGGCAGGCTACTGAGAGTATCCTACTTGCATGGCAGTCTGGCAAGCTCCCATGGCATATTCGATATGTCAAAACCCAGTAACAACGATGGGTCTTATTCTCCTGACCCTGAAAGAGACTCCAATGTGGCACTTGCTAAAATCTCAGGGCTAGGACGAATGGAGACGTTACTGGTGCCTGCTCAAGGAAATCGATGAACAATGGAATGACAGTGATACAGTGATACGGAGCATAAACCAACTGTCATAGCAACCTCAGTAAGATGACATCACACATACCATTTAAATATTACAATTTCTACAGCAAAGTGCATATATTCACAGTGAGCTGATAAGCTACTTATAATACAAATACTGTCTTTATATATAAGTATTTTTCAACAACAAAATTATACCTAATCACCTTTACAATCCTCAGTATTCTAAGAGTAAATGGTCACTATGTATTTTTCTTAAATTGAGTTTTAGCCTCATTTTTTACAACTGCTTCTGCCAATTTTTCCACTAGTACTCTTTTCAGTAATGAGACAGAGACGGCTTATTAATGCAATATTCAATAAGTACTTGAGCTAAATACCATCTATCACAGTTTTTCCAGCATCAATAAATCCTACTACACTTGATAACAAGCTATAACAATGCTTAATAATATGCACAAAATAATTATGAACTACAAAGCACTTTTACAGTTTCTATTATATCACTAACAGCCATCAAAAAGACTTCAGAAGTTACTCAAATTATACTATTAGGTGTAATTTTATAAAACTTAAAAAATGAATCCTATTACGACAACAGACTTTCACTAGATGGCAGACTAACACAGTCCCTGTTTACATGCCATGTTTATTCAAGTACTTATTCAAGTCATGTTACTATGGAGAACTGCACCAAAATACTGGTTCCTAAAATACTAGGAATTTTGCTGACCTTAATGTAAACATGTTTAAAGAAGGAAGGGTAACTGTACAGAAATCATGAGATTAACAGTTCAGAATGTCTCTGAATATGAGTTACATTAACTAATCACAACTAGCTAAGTCACCAGAATATCCACAGTTCTTTCATTTAAAGTGTAGAGATAAAGTAAAGTAAAGTAAAGTAAAGTAAAGGCCCTCCCGTTGTTCATCGATTTGCTCGAGCGGGCCCAGTAATGTCTCCATTGGAGATTTTGTTGTTACTGTGTTTGGCATATTGAATACATCACGGGTGGCTTGCCAGGCTCTGCCGTGCGGGCGAGATACTCTCGGTAGTTTGCAGGGCTCTCCGAGTGGGGCGGAGGAATCGAACTCGGGTCGGACATGTTGGCTGCATGCAAGGCAAATGCTCTACCGCTGTGCTATTGCTCCAGCCCTAAAATTGACTCCTATGCTGTCAGAAGTGTAGAGATATTGCAGGAAATGTAGTAAAGGTAGAACACTAGTAAAGCGGGATGCCTAAATCACCCTTGACCCTAGAACACAGGAAGGAGAAGGACAGAGAAAGAAAGAAATTGAGGAGGGGGAAGCAAGACGAGGAGAAAGGGAAGAAATGGGGGAAAGGGATCAGGGCAATAGGGTATACCAGTGATGTGGGAGAAGAGTAGGAGTAGTAGCAGCTGTATATACAAAGCATAGACTCTATAATACTGAAATCATGAGATCTAAACTACAATTGCCAAATTCTGTCAAGGTGGCAGGAGGAGTTAGAGAGCATGGGAACTTCGGTGCTGGGAATACAGTAGCATGCCTAAGACTCATCTATCAATAATTTTGTAAATATGGTTCTTTAAAAAAATTGCTTACTTCTCACAAAGTGGCTATGAGAACTAAACGTTGGTAGAAATGTCATCTGGTTTAGGGTATATGGAAGATTGTATGGATTATTATGCAGCTTTAAGAAAAGATGAAATCTAAGCCCCCACGAATAGCTAAAGCAATTCTTGGGAAAAAGAAAATGGGAGGAATCAACCTGCCTAACTTCAAGCTCTACTACAAAGCAGTAATAATCAAAACAGCATGGTACTGGAACAAAGGCAGAGTTGCAGACCAATGGAACAGAGTTGAATATACTGACATCTCCTCCCAAGCATATGATCATCTAATCTTCAATAAGGGAGCAAGAAAAGTGAAATGGAGCAGGGAAAGCCTCTTTAATAAATTGTGCTGGCAAAACTGGATGGCTAAAAAAGTGCGCTCAGATCTCTGCCTAACACCATGCACAAAAGTAAGATCAAAATGGATTTATGACCTCAACATCAAATCGAAATCCATAAAGTTTATTATGGATTTGAAGACAAAGTTGGCAAAATCCTCCATGATATTGAAGCTAATGGTATCTTCAAAGACGTCACACCACTGGCCACGCAAGTGGAAACAGAGATAGACAAATGGGACTATCTTAAACTAAGAAGCTTCTGCACCTCAAAAGAAACAGTGACCAAAATACAAGGACAGTCTACAGAATGGGAAAAGATATTCGCCAAATACACATCCGACAAGGGGTTGATATCAAGGATATACAAGGTACTGGTTGAACTCCACAAGAAGAAATCACCCAACACCATCAAAAAATAGGGCGAGGAAATGAACAGAAATTTTCGCAAGGAAGAAATCTGAATGGCAAAAAGGCACATGAGAAAATGCTCTACATCACTAATCATAAGAGAGATGCAGATCAAAACAACAATGAGATATCATTTCATACCACAGGACTGGCCTACATGCACAAGAACAAAAGCAAATTAATTTAAATACACTAATATAAAACTTGTGTCTGCCACAACGTTTTGCACTTGGGAAAGACAAATGTGTCAAGATCAGAGAAAAATGTCTTATCTACTGAGAACACAAATTTCTAGAATATATATTAGGGACCAATCGAGATTCACAGAAATGAAGATAATTCTGCTAGAACTTTTTTTTTTCGGTGGTAATGGTGTTGGGGTTGGATCACACCTGGCAGTTTTCCTGGTTCTATGTTCAGGAATCACTCCTATAGGGGCTTCAGGACCCTAAGTGGTACTGACAATAAATCCAGATCAGTTGCACAGAGACAAGTGCCTCACATACTATATTATCTTTCAGGCCCTGCTAGAAAAAAAAAAAACTTTTTTCACACCAAGTAGTAGTATTGCTGGATCAGACAGTAGTTCTAATTCTATTTTTGAAAAGCTCTCTATACTGCTTCCATAAAGGCTGAACCACATGACATTCCCACCAATAGTGGATGGCGACTTTCTCACCATAACCAGGCCAAAACTGTTTCCAAATTTTTGGCATACCCCAAAATTTGCAAGACATCTCGTTTTGATTTGCATTTCTCTACTCATAAGTGTCGATGAATACTTTTCATATGCTTATTGGCTATCTGTATGTCTTCCTTGGACAAAATGTCTATTCATCTGCTCACCCTTTTATGGATGGGGTTACTGGATTTTGGACAGTTGTTTTTTTTGAGTACTTTATATATATTGAATATCAACCTTTTATCTGGTGTATTGTGTGCAAAACTTTTCTTCCATTCAGTATGTCTTTTTATTAGACTCTGAGGTTTTTTTCTGAGAGAAAGCTTTTTAATCTGATGTGGTCCCATTTATTTAATTTTGTTATCTTTGTCACTGCGGTTATCTCTTTGAAGAAACCTCTTTAGTTTCCTGTAGAGTTCGACCAATGTTTTCTGGGGAGAAGGTAAGTGAAGAGGGAAGTGGTATTGAAGTCCTTGGAAGAGAGAGCGAGTTGCACTTGTGATGGGTGTAGTGTTGGAATTAGGTGCATAAGAAACTATTATTATTAGCATTGCAAACCACAGAATCTCAATAAAAAATATTGAATTTTTAAAAAATGTGAAACAAAAGAGCAGGAAGATAGCTATTATCAATATCTATTGATTAGTCATATTTATATAAGCAACTATTTTTTGAACTTCATTAAAGTATAGCTCAGATGCCATAGTTTATGCATTTAATATGTATAATTCCTGCTATCATACTTATAATTATCCAACATAATTAATAACTAATCTTACATTTTCACTATACTCATCAGTAGCCATTCCCTACTTTTTTATTCCAATTCCCTCCATTCAGCCTTAGGCAACCATTAGCCTAGTGTTTACTACTATCTTTACTGATCTACCTTTTTTGTGATTTTATATGATATTTAACAATATATTAGTCTTATTACTGACTTCTTATACTTACTACGAATCAATAATTCATAAAATAGTGAATTCATGGATGTTTTGTTCCTATTTATTACAAAGAAATACAATGTAATATATGAACATTTGGGTACAAGTTTTCATCTTTTCAATTCTCACAAAATTGAGATATAATCATAGAAAACACATACAATAACTATAGCTAATGCAGAGTTTTTTTAATAGTTGCCAAAACAGGAAAATTATAAACAATTCCAACTTTTAGAACTCCAGTTTGAATACTTCTATTTTAGTTACTTATTACCCTTAGCAATAGAATAACTGATTTGTCACCATTTTTTTGAATTTACTGGGAAGTCATCTGAAAAATTCTTTTTTCATCATTTTTAATGATTAGATTATCACCTACTTTCAGAAAATCACGACTAAATTTTCATCAGTCATCTGTTCTTTAGTATCACACTAAGAAAACTGTTTCATTGTTTGATATAAACAAACACACATTTTCATATATTCATAGATCTCTGGCAATGTGATCCTGATTTTGATTTTAGTTCAGAATTAAAAATTAGTTTTATGAAAGATTGCATTCATCTGGGGGACATAAAGTAACAAAATAGGAGATTAATACCCAAGAATAGCCGAGATAAGTACCAGGAGGATTACTCCATGGCTTAGAGGCCAGCCGGGCATTCTAGGGGAAAGGGCAGCTCAGATAGAGAAGGGAGCACCAAAATAAGGGTGTTTGGAGGATCCTCCCAGGAGGGGAGATGCATGCTGGAAGTAGATTATGTACTGAACATAATTGCCACTCAATGCCTCTTTTGCAGACCACAACACCCAAAAGGAGAGAGAGAACAAAGGGGAACGCCCTGCCACAGAGGGAGGGTGGGATGGGGGGGATGAGTGTGGGAGGATACTGGGATCCATGGTGGTAGAAAATGGGCACTGGTGGAGGGATAGGTATTTGATCATTGTATAATCGAAACCCAAGCACAAAAATTTGTAAATCTACAACTGTACCTCATGGTGTTTTCTGTTCTACAGATTACACAATTCCTGAAATCATCTTTAGATAAGCAATGTTTCCTAAACAGCAAACATTTATACAATTAAAATACCAAATAATTTTGTTGTTGCTTTTATGAGTATCTATTATTCAAAAAGAAATGCACTATTGACTTAAAATCATATAAGTATATAATTTTTACCTTTAAAATGAAATATATATTTTATTTTTGTTTATCTTTTTTGGGTCACACCTAGCTATGCTCGGAACTTACTCCTCCTGGTTCTGCACTCAGGTCCCACTACTGGAAAGGCTCAGAGATGCCAGAGATCGAATCCAGGTTGGCCTGTGAAAGCAAGTGCCTTGAATGCTATACTATCACTCTGGCCCACAAAAAACTGTTTTCAGTTTCAAAGACTAATATTCAGGGCTTACCTTTGATAAAACATATGTAAATATAAGGGAGACTTTATTAAATTAAGAAGTAATTTTGAGAAAACAAAATATAGCATTCTCAATGCAATCTGGTTCCTGTCTTTTCTTATAATGTTTTCTTCTTAAGGTCAACATGACAAGAAAAGTTAAAATTTCAAATCAACAAGTGTTAAAACCCAGGGGTTGGAGCAATAGCACAGTGGGTAGGGTGTTTGCCTTGCACGCGGCCGACTCCGGTTTAATTCCCAGCAGCCTATATGGTCCCCTAAGCACCACCAGGGGTAATTCCTGAGTTCAGAGCCAGGAGTAACCCCTGAGCATCACCGGGTGTGACCCGCTCCCTCCCCCCAAAAAATAAGTGTTAAAACCCTACTCTCACAATCCATCTTATAGGTATGTCTATATTTTGGGGCTTTCGAGTCATAACTGTGGTGCTCAGGGCTTACTTCTGGCTGTGGTCAGGGATCCCTCCTGGTAGAGCTCAAGGGACTATATGTGATGTCGTCAGAGATAGAACCTAGGTTGGCTGCCTACAAAGAAAACTTCAAGGTTCTTATCTGTTATACTGTTTCTCCAGCCCCAAAGTTTACAGACTTTTAATATTAACTATTAAATAAGAAAAATAAGTGTTCTTTTATGTTCTTTTTCTAGATTGTGACAGAGGCTGATGGAATTAAAAAAAAAAATAGTGGAGAAAACACAAAAACTCTCTGTCTGTGTATTAAATTATGCTACATTTAATACTGCTCTATTTGAGAGATTAATATCTACAAACTCCAGAAATGCTTGGGTAAGTACAAATAGGTGAGCAAACTTCTTGTCATTAGAAGTCCAGAATTTAACAATCTTTTCTGATTTACGTAATCTAGTTGATAAAAGGTGTGACCTAAATGTTACTTTTATATTCCTGAAATCATTTTTAGGATAAACAAAGTGTATTTTCTTAAGAAAGATTCAACAGGGCCAGAGTGACAGTACAGCAGGTAAGGAGCTTGCCTTGTACACGGGTGACCCAAGTTCAATCCCCCACATCCCATATGGCTCCCTGAGGATTTCAGGAGTGATTCCTGAGTGCCGAGCCAGGAGTAAGCTCTGATCACTGCCAGGTGTGACCCCAAAACAAAAAAAATACTCAACAAAGTATGCCAATAAGACAGAAGGTAAAAAAAGTCAGTGAAAAAAAATAAAGGAAAGAATCCCTTTTATAAAATTCAAATGTACAACACTTACCAGAGAGCCAATATAGTGCAGGACATTTTGCAGTTTCTGCCTTTGGTGGCAAGTAGATAGCAAATTTCATTTTGCACTTCAGTTCAACACTGTAAAACCAAGCATGACAAAAACAGAGAAATGCCCCTCATTAGTCATGACAGAGACTTAGGTGATTAAACTTACAAATAAGTGATTTCATCCATATTTAAGCAGGAAATCTTGAACATTACAGACTTGTTGTGGCCCCAAAATGTAAACAAATAAGAATGTAGTGAATTCAGATTTAACATGATGATCCCATAGTCAATCTGAACCTACACTTAACAATGCACAGTCATCTAAACAATCAAAAAACAAAGAGTCTCTTCAATGGGCACTATTATTAGCAAAAGGAAAAATATTTCTACTTCTAATCACAATTATGTCATATTGAAAGGATGGGGAAGGGGATCACACTTCAGTAGCTGGAGTGGGCAGTAACTTTATATATCAATACCAGAAACTTGAACATCATTGTAATCTTATCACCAAAATTAAAAAAAGAAAAAGCATTGGTATTTCCACAAACATATGGAACAATGACCTTTTATAGGCTTAAAGAATCAAATGTGTGGATGCAAACTTATTACTTCACAATGAATTAAAAAAAAATCAAAGTCATATAGATAGTTCAAATAGCATTTATGAAGAATAAACCTTCCTTTGAAAAAGATCCCTATAAATCTTCTGAAAAAGATCCCCACCTCCCCAGTTCATAACCTTCTCATTTGCCACATTTCAGGGATTTTAGCTTTTTGAGGCAAAGGTTCTGGTACTTAATGCCATTATTCTAAATACTTTTATTGATATTACTTGGTTTGCTAACTTTAGCCATTATCTACTGACTTCCCTTTATAGAATAATTTTAGTTACCTGCTGCTCATTCTGCTCTCTGTACCCACTGATATTATTTCCTTCCCCATCTTATCAATATGCAATTTTACTTGGTCCATACTAACAGCTATAAATGACAAAAGATGAACTATGTGGACCATTCCTCAACCCATGCCCAAAACAGAGAGGGTAAGGCATGAACTGACTCTGGTGCAATCCTTAGCACTGTAAGAATCCCCAGGAGTGATCCCTGAGTGCAGAGCCAAAAATAGACCAGAGGCAAAGCCAGGTATGGCCCCCACCCGCTACCCCACCCCAAATAAACACAAGATAAACTATGTGGTATATCAGGACTTCTTTCCTTTTTCCTTCAACTTTTGTTTTTCATGTGTTAGTAACTGTACTAATTTTACTTACACTTAAAGTACAAACTCACCTCGATCATTGTATAACTGAAACCCAAGCACAAAAATTTGTAAGTCTACAACTGTACCTCAGGATGTTTCACTAATAAAAATTTTAAAAAATAAATACAGACTCACACAAAAGCCTCTTTCATACAAATGAGAACTTTTGTCTTTCCTTCCATTCTCTGTATATTTTTTCATTTTAATGATTAGAAATTATCTAATTTTTTTTAGGTCTTCAACTACTGATAAGGGAATTGAGACATTCTCTTTCAAGATACACCACAGGAGAGCCATCTCTAATGCAGAGATATTTGTGATCAATATAATTACCAAATGAGAGAGCTTAATCCTACTAAAGGATAGCTGGTATCTTAAAATATTTCTCAAGCAGTTGTGGAACAGATCAGGTCTAATGCAGAGTCGGACAAACAGAATGACTAACATTTACTTAAAATTTAAAAATTAAAGGGCATTATCAAGTATTCTGAAACTCTGCCCTTATGGCATTAGAATGCTACACAACTACCAGAATATAATTCATGCAGTTATTTGTGACAGTCATGTTGCACTAATGCACCACCAAAATCTTCCACAGTATTTATTTTCCTCTCAGTAGTTAATTCTGTAAATTTCATCTTAAAAAAGTTATTTCTTTAGATTGCTGCTATCCAATAGAGCTTTATATGAGAAAAATCATCTGTATCTACACTACAGAATACAATAGCTTCTAATTCATATGGCCACTGAAGACATGAATGTGGCCAGCTAATAATTTAATTTGAACACTTTTTAGTACTTAATTTAATACTTAATTTAAACACTTTCTGTGACTACTGGCTACTAGACCTTCTCGCTGTTTTCTATATTCTTGTACAGGTGCTGCCTTAGTATGTTCATACTTCTCCTGTAAATTCCTTTTTCTATGCTCCTGTTTCCTGGATCCCATGTCCTGAGTGAGCTAAAATCAATCAATTTGGTGAATCACATCCTCCAGTTGTTTTCTGTAAAACAGCTACATGAAAACACACTTTTGAAACCTAACATACATGAACATTTCTATTTTCAATCTTACCTTAAGAAATGACTGGACAAGGAAATCTTCCTTTAAAATTTTGAAAGGATTGCTGTGATGCCTTCTTGTTCTAGAACTGCTTTTGAGATGATCTTTCCTTCTAAAGTTCTTAATATTCCCTCCTCTCTCTGAATACTAAAATTTCTCTATGCTCGGAAAGCTATGTTGTTGATATGGGTCTATTTGCAACCTTTATACTGGAAAAAATTTTAATTCTGAAAATTCAAACCCTTCAGTTCTATGAATTCTTCTATTCTTTATTTTATTTTATTTAATACCAATTTTCTGACTTATTTTTCAAAACCAGTATTTGATGGTGAACTACCTGAACTCGGTCTCCAATTTTCTCGCATTCCTCTTCACTCTTAGAATAATTTCATTTTTCTGAGCTCAACTCTTTCTCTGACTTCTAAGTACATCCATATACTTCAAATTCCTTCCTAAGCTTAGTTACTGTTATTTCTCAGTGTTTTCTTGCTGATTTTTAAAATTAAGCTTTCTAAGTTCTGCTAAATCAGATTTTAGTTCTGTGTTTCTGCTTCTGGGTATATATGTGTTTAATCCCTTAATTAAATTTCTCCTTTTAAGAAGCAGCAGAGGTTAATATTTGTGTTCAATGTGCATTTTTACCAAGAGATCCAGGTTTTTGTTCTCACATTATAAGATCTCCAAGGAAGATGTTCCCAGAATTTCTAGTGCCAATATTTACATTTTTAAGTTTTTACCTCACATAGTTAAATCCAATTAAGTCTAGTGAAACTGTCAAACAACCCACAGAAACAGAGCAGGGAGGTTTAAAGTGAAATAAGGAGTCACAGTATGTAAATAAGGATTTTTAAAAGCTGAAACAAACAAAGGAACAAAATGAGACACTCAAAATGTTATATTCTCAGTAATTACCTGTCATGTTCAAAAACTTTCTGCAATCCTCCAAAGCACTTGTTGCTGGAAATCTGTTTCAATGCCATTCTTCTCCTATTAGTGAAGATTAAACTCTTTAATTTCCAGAGAATTAGTTATTGAAAAATCTTTGAAAAATTATTTTCAGCGGAGGCATTACCCTCCCCAACCTCAAACTTTACTACAAAGCAGTAATAATTAAAACAGCATGGTACTGGAACAAAGCCAGGGCCATAGACCAATGGAACAGGTTGAAATATCTGCACACACAACCCCAAATGTAGGAACATCTAATCTTTGATAAGGGATCAAGAAATGTGAAGTGGAACAAGGAAAGTCTCTTCAACAAATGGTGCTGGCATTAACTGGACAATCACATGCAAAAAAATGGGCTTAGACCTCGACCTAACATCATGCACAAAAGTCTGATCAAAATGGATTAAAGATCTCAACATCAGGCCAAAATCCATAAGATACATTGAAGACAAGGTCGGCAAAACTCTCCACAATATTGAGGCTAACAGTATCTTCAAAGATAACACTCCACTGACCAACCAAGTGGAAACAGAGATAAACAAATGGGACTATCTTAAATTAAGAAGCTTCTGCACCTCAAAAGATACAGTGGCCAGAATACAAAGACAATCTCCAGAATGGGAAAGAATATTTACCCAATACCCATCCGACAAGGGCTTGATATCAAGGATATACAAAGCAATGGTTGAACTCTACAAGAAGAAAACATCTAACCTCATCAAAAAATGGGGTGATGAAATGAACAGAAACTTTTCCAAAGAAGAAATTCGAATGGCTAAAAGGCACATGAGAAAATGCTCTACATCACTAATCATCAGGGAGATGCGGATCAAAACCACAATGAGATATCATCTCACACCACAGAGACTGGCCCACATCCAAAAGAACAAAAGCAACTGGTGTGGGTGTGGATGTGGTGAGAAAGGGACCTGCTGGTGGGAATGCCGACTGGTTCAGCCCTTTTGGAAAACAATATGGACAATTCTCAAAAAATTAGAAATTGAGCTCCCATTTGACCCAGCAATATCACTACTGGGAATATATCCCGGCGAGGCAAAAAAGTACAGTCAAAATGACGTCTGCATTTCTATGTTCATTGCTGCACTATTCACAATAGCCAAAATCTGGAAAAAAAACCTGAGTGCCCAAGAACAGATGACTGGTTAAAGAAACTTTGGTACATCTACACAATGGAGTACTATGCAGCTGTTAGAAAAGATGAAGTCATGAAATTTACATACATGTGGTACTACATGGAAAGTATTATGCTAAGTGAAATGAGTCAGAAAGAGAGGGACAGACATAGAAAGACTGCATTCATCTGGGGAATATAAAGTAACAAATTGGGAGACTAACACCCAAGAATAGCCAAGATAAGTACCAGGAGTTTCACTCCATGGCTTGGAGGCCAGCCCTACATGCTGAGGGAGAAGGCAGCTCAGATAGAGAGGGGAGCACCAAGTAAAGAATGTTGGGAGGACCCTCCTAGGATGAGAGAGGCATGGTGAAAATAGACTATAGACTGAACATGATAGCCACTCAATGCTTCTTTTGCAAACCACAGCACCCAAAAGGAGAGAACAAAAGGGAATGCCCTGCCACAGGGGTAGGGTGGAATGGGGGTTTGGAGGGCTGCTAAGAGCATTGGAGGTGGGGAATGGGCACTGGTGGAGGGATGGGTACTCAATCATTGTATAATTGAAACCCAAGCATAAAAATCTGTAAGTCTACAACTGTACCTCATGGTGTTTCACTAATAAAAATTTAAAAAATTATTTTCAAATCATTATCTGAACACACAATGTTAGGGGTGGGGAGAAAAAATAAAAATACAATCGTTTTCACCTACCATTTGTCCACCTGTTAAATTACTCTAATTAAATATGACAAAACTAACTGATTCTTCCTGGGTTTTGAGCCAGGAACTACTAACTTCTGGCTGTGCTCAGGAATCATTCCTGGCAGTGCTTGGGGGATCACGGTGGTGACCGAGATCAAAAACCTGGTTGGTAACAAGTTACCAGCCCTTCTTTTCAGTGGACACATGTCACAATTCTTGTCTAATATGGCCTACACGAATTGTTAGCACTTTAAATTTCATTTTGATCTTAATTTAAATTGTAATAAAATAACAAAACACGAGCACAGCCATTTGTGGCTCATTACTAGTAGCATAGTCTATCAGTATGAAAAGCATGGCTAGTTTAGCCATATTAATCAATGAGAAATGCCTGATCACTTCAAGGCTACCACTGCTGGTGTAGCACAGAGGCTCTCAAGCTTTCCTCTTCAATGAAACCTGGAGAGCTTTTAAAATTCCTACTGTCTTTCTAGCTGAAAGTTGAAATAGTTGAAGGCCAGACCACAGCCATGACAACAGTATCAGAATAATCTGTTGATGGAGTGACCGAGTATTTTTTAAAATATTTTTAGAAGGCTTTGGGTCACAGCAGGGCTCACTCCTGACTCTGCACTCAGGAATCACACCTGGCGCTGCTCAGGGGGCCTTTATGGGATTCAGAGGATCCAACCCGGTCAGCTGAGTGCAAAGCAAGCACCTTACCGCTGTACTCTGGATCCCAAGCTTCACTATTTTTAAATCTGTCCAGGTGAACCCACTGCCATTTCAACTTGGAAAACCACGAGTATAGAAAGCTAATCCTATTCCATTGTGAGGCTAGGTACTGAAAACCACTAAGGTAGCGGAAAGCAAGGTACTTAATTGCATATAGTCCGCGGCTCTTGTAAAGCCATTCCAATTTTGTAAGCTGGAAACTAACGGACTGACCAAGGACAAAAGAAAGAATGACTAAAACACCATGCATTTAACTGCAAATTTAAAATACAGAATCTTGGAGATCCCAAGCCTGTTTGCCCAGCGGCAAATTTCTAATCCAACCGGTGGTGGGGACAGAAACAGAAGCCCTGAATTCCAAACAGCTCAGATTGGCTCTCCAAATTGTCCACGGTGGTCCTAGCACTTTCTGTTGTTGCTGTTCCCTTTTTCTGGTCTCCCTTTCTGTTGAGTCGATGGTGTCACAGTCATGCCTAATTCTTATTAGGTGGGTCTTGGCTGTTTCTTACCCCACCAATGCCACGACCTAATTTCAGATGGCTCGGGAGTCGGGCTTTCCAGATTGCAAATCCGGTTTCTTCGCGTCCTCCCACAGGACTTGGACAAGTCCCGGTCCCCTGGCCTAGACTCATTTACCCGTTCTTGGACCTTCAGGGCTTGTTCTGGGACTGAGGCCATGAGTAGGCTTAGGACCCGCGGGCTGTGCTCTGCACCCAGTTTGTCTGCGACTCCTCGAGGCGGTGCTCACGCGCCCTCCCCGACGACCGCCCCGCAGACACTCCGCCCGGCGCCTCCCGCAGCGCCGAGGGGCGTCCCACAATGCGCGGACGCACATCCCCTTAGGACTGGCCCGGGTCATCGCCCAGACGCAGGAGCTGCCCGGGGCTGGCCAGCGGGTCTTCCCCGCCCCCCGCTGCAAAACAGGCGCCCGGGGACGGGCTGTGCGTGGCCACTGAGGCTCTGAGGCTCGTTTCCTCAACAAACCCATTCCCCACACACCCCGCGGCCACTTCACGTCCGCTCGATGGCAAGGGCGGGAATGTGTACAGGGGCGAGGAGCCAAAGAAGGCGAGCGAAGACCCCGCGGCTTCCCGGGCTGAGCGAGGCGGCCGCCCCGGGTTACACCTTCGGATGCGGGGAAGGCTCGGCACGGGGGCTCGCGCCTCCTCGGGACGCGTCGCTCGGCCTCCACGCTCGGCTCCGGGTCCTCCGGCTCTGCGCTAGCGCCGGACACTCTCGCCGCCGGCCTCCGCCCGAACCGAAACTGGCCACGCGGGCGCGGGATCCCCAGATCCGCACAGGCCGGGTCCATCCGGGATTCTAGCGGAGCCGAACCTTACCTCCAGCGACAGCAGCTAGAACGCTCGAGGAGCGGGAGGAAAGGCGGAGCTTTAACATGGCCGCCGGCCCCGCCCCCGAGGAAGACCCCGCCCATTTTAACCCGGGCGCCGAAGCCCCGCCCCCCACTTCTCCGGCTCCGCCCCGCCTCGCCTCCCACTTCCTTTCGAACCTTAGGTGGGCGGGGACTCCTGCTCCAGGCCATTTCCTGCGGTTCACAGACCCTGCCCTCCCTCACCCTATCCTGTAGCAGGTCCAGAGTTTACCCAGTAACCCAGGAGAAATGCTGCCAGATCTTTTCGCTTGACTGGCAGCTGGCATTAAATAGGATTCTAGGTAAATATCCATTCTCCAAATCACTGTCAGTGTCCTCCGGTTGTTCATCGATTTGCTCGAGCAGGCCCAGTAACGTCTCCACTGGAGACTTTGTTGTTACTGTGTTTGGCATATCGAATACATCACAGGCAGCTTGCCAGGCTCTGCCTGCGGCGAGATACTCTCGGTAGTTTGCCAGGCTCTCCGAGAGGGGCGGAGGAATCGAACTCGGGTCGGCCATGTTGGCTGCGTGCAAGGCAAACGCCCTACCCGCTGAACTATCACTTCAGCCCATTCTCCAAGTACTGTGGTTATTCTTTTTTTTTTTTTAATAATGTAGGAGCACTGCTATTTATTCGGCCGTTGATTAAGCTGATTGAATTGGGCTTGAATTCCACATTACTTTTTAAATTTTTTTTTAATTTTATAAATTAGTTCACAATGTTTGATTACATTTAACATTCAAACACCAATCCCACCACCATTATACCTTCCCACCACCAAATTCAGGATGTTTCCATCCCAAGCGTCAATCCCTATCCCAAAACACAACTGAAATAATGTATTTTGTATTATCTGTTATGAAGAACTGCTGAACATGTTTACAAAAAAAGTGTTCATATAGGAAACAGTATGAAGATTGTTCAATTTTGGCAAGAGACATTAAGACGTTCGATAGGATATCACATGTTTTAAAGTTTGGGTGATGTGAACTTTGGTATACATACCTGAAAGTATGTGTATATATATATATATATATATATATATATATATATATATATATTTCCCTCTATGATTTGTTGCCTACTATCTGAACCCCATCAAATGTGGTGTGATAATCATGGGGAATGGGTAGGGAATGTTTTATGATGTGTCTCACCGCCGTCAAAGTGACCAGTGGTCCAGGAATATGTTTACTCATATGTGAGGCTCAGCCTGAGTTTGTGGGGAGCGGCCTTGTGTGTGGTGGTGGTTGGGCTGTGCAGGTTCTCAGCTGCTGGGGCTGGGTATCTTGGGGGCGGGGAGGGCTCTCACCTGCCCCCCTCTGGGGTGCCCCATGTGAAACAGCCTGGCACAGAGACTGGTGGCATGGTTATGGGGGCCTCATATTATGCTCCCTTTCAGGAGAAGCAGTCGTGTGATCTGGACAGTAGCCGATCTCCACATTACTTTATTTAAAATTCTATCCTGAATGTTAATTTTATTTTATTATTTTATTATTATTTTTCCTCCTTTTTTTCATTCACTATGAGATAGTTACAAAGCTTTCCTGTTTGAGCTTCAGTCATACAATCATCAAACACCCATCTGTTCACCAGTGCACACTATCCATCAGCAAAATCCCCAGTATTACTGCCCCTGGGACCCACCCCCCCTTTGAACCCTTCTCCTGCCTATGTTGAGCTCATAAAGCTGAGTCGAAGGGGTATGGTGCTGCCAGCGGGTGAATCTGTACCTGTGAGGCAAATGCATCAGCAGCCAGATGGCGCCTTCAGACTTCCAGATACCCCAAAATTGCTGCTGTGCCTTTGGCCAGACCCCAGAAACTTGGGGCAAAGTTTACCAAGAAAGCAAGTGGCCAAAAGTTAGGTATGTGGGAGACACACCCACAAACCACCTCCAGTTCAGCTATATAATTGGAAGCATGACCTCTCTGGCTCCTGATCAAGCTAATTAATAGCCATGGTCCCAGACACTCAGAAACAAATCTCGAAACCCAGAAGCTTATGGCAGAAAGGCATCTGGACCGCATACAAGGTGGCCGCCACCTTAGAGCTTCTTGGAAAACCAGGTATGAGCTGGTGGTGACAAGGCAACTGCAGTCTCATGGGAAAGGGGGCGGTACCGGCTCATCCTTCACGCCCTACCGAGGTCACAACTTGCCCCCCACGAGCGGCTCTCTGGCATGGCCATGGCTCCAGAGGCAAAAGGACTTAGTCCAGAGCCCAGCAGCTTGTGGCAGAAAAGTGAATGGACCATGCATTAAACTATGGCACCATGCCTCCCCGGGAGGGAAAGGGTGTTGCTCTCCCTTCTGCCTTTCCCCCCTTCCCCCCTCCCCCCGGCAGCAAGGTGGCCATGGCCGCTGCCTCAGAGCTTATAGGAAAGCCAGGTATGAGCCGGCAGTGATGGGGAAACTGCAGTCTCATGGGAAGGGGGGTGGTACTGGCTTGTCCTTCACGCCCTACTGAGGTCACGAGTTGCTACCCATGAGTGGCTCTCTGGCACAGCCGTAACACCAGCCACACAGAAACCAATCTCATAATTATCTGGCTCTCTGCAGAAGTCCAAAATCGCGAGGCCGCTATTATGGCCATGCGAGATTATATGATTCTCATACCAGCTATAGAAAACAAAGTATTTCACAATGCCTTTTCAGCAATTCTGATTGTTGGGGGGAGGCGGAATTCTAAACAATAATGGTGCATCTTTTATTGAAATGAATGTAGATAAGAGTAAAGTGGAAATCATCTGCCTCGCAGGCATTGGGAGGTGTGGGAGGGGGGTATATTGGGGTTCTTGGTGGTGAAAAATGAGTACTAGTGAGGGAAGAGGTGTTTGATCATTGTATGACTGAGACTTAAACCTGAAAGCTTAGTAACTTTTCCCATAGTGATTCAATAAATAAATATAAGAAGGAAAATAAATAAATAAATAAAATTATGGGAAAAAAAGCTGAGCCGGAGGTGGTTTGTGGGTGTGTCTCCAACATACCTAACTTTTGGCTGTTTAATTTCTTGGTAAACTTGGTCCCAAATTGTTGGGGTCCGGCCAAAGGCACAGCAGCAATTTTGTGGTATCAGAAAGCCTGAAGGCACCATCAGGCTGCTGATGCACTCGCCCCACAGTTATAGGTTGACCTGCTGGCAGCACCATCCCCCCTACTGTGGTTATTCTATCAACATCATCTTCCTCCTCTCAAAATTTACTTAAACCAAGCTAATAAATGCAGGTTGATTATCTTACAGCAAATCTTCCCATGGTCTGTTTCCCTTGACTTGACCTGTCCTTTAAGTTAAATCTAACTTTGCAAAGGACCAAACATGATGGCCTCTCAATATCTGTATTATAAACCATAATGCCCCAAAGTAAAGAGAAAGAGGGAAATTGTCTTTCATAGAGGTAGGGGAAGGGCTAGGATGGGGGAGGGGGTGGATACTGGGGACATTGGTGGTGGAAAATGTACACTGGCTGAGGGTTGGGTGTTCAATCACTGTATGACTGAAACTCAAGCATGAAAGCTTTGTAACTATCTCTTGGTGATATAATTTTAAAAAAAGGGGGGAGGAATCTAACTGTTGTAAGTTAAATATAACACTAAGAACACTTAATAACACTAAGAATATCTCTAAGGTGCTGCAGAGATATTCCTGGAGAGAAAGCATTCTTATTGGCTGAAGACCCTGGTTTGAATCCTGGCATTGCCGGGTGTTGCACCAAATCACAAAAACTATATTTTAACCAATAGCCAGGATGGCAATAATATAATGTGAAGAGCAGACCAGTTTCCTAGGCCTGCAACTCAGAAGAATCCTGCACTTTATTTAGTTCTCTGCTTGGTTGCATTCCATCCTATGCTACATGGCTAATTTTTTTTATAAAGCAACCTATATTTTCATTTTGTACTATTGAAAATAATGTGACTGATTCTGCTGACATAACTGAAGTGTGTGATCGTTGTAAAGTGAAATTATAAACACAGATGCCACTGGAGATTAACTTCCAGAATCTGTCATGTGACTCATCCCTATTTTGGCACAGTGACCTGTGGACTTAACTTGTGGGTTTGTAAATCAGTTGAGACTTAGCTGAAGATAATGTTTAATCAAAATAAATGCTGAGGGAAAAAATGCTACTGTTAAAAAAAATGTATTATTTTCTAAATAGAAATCACTGAAATGGGGATTTTCTTGGGTTTCACAACTAAAGAAGAAACAAAAACTAACAACTTGCAGATTTTTAAAAACATATAAAATATCTCAACAAAGATAAAGGATGACTATTAAATTATTGTTATGGACAATAACGTAAGATTAGCAAGTAAAAAGTCTTGTACTGAAGCCTTGTGTTAATAATTATTAGAACTAAAATTTCCTTCCCCCAACAGAAACACAGTTGTAACAGATACAATAAGTTTCTATTTCTTTTTTTTAAGTGTTGTGATACTTAAGTGGTGATAGTGGCCACAAAAACTGCTATAAAGGTAGAGGGTAGAGCAAATAAAGATACAGTGATAAGCACAAGAGTAAAGGTTACCATGAGAACAGAAGCAGGAATAAAATATTAGAATCAAAAAGAACTTTCCAGGGCAACTAGAAACTAGATCATGTCAAAATCTGCAGCATTTCTTTAAGTCTATAAATATCTAACAAAAATGTATGAAAGAAAGATGAACCCTCTCACAATAGCAAGAATAATCAAAAGTTCCTAAAAAGAGGCCACTGAAGACTAGAGAGATAGTATAAAGATTAAAGTGCTTGCCTTGAAACTGGTCAGGCCTTGATTCAACCCCCAGCACCCATTATGTTCCCTGAGCACAGTATGGAGCTGGGAGCAAACCCTGAGCACTGCTGGATATGACCTAAAAGCAGATAAGCAAGAAATAACTCAAATGAGAATTATCATTCAGTATTTGGCTTCTCACAGGTCTCCAGTCCAGGTTTTCAATTTTATAAATGTCTCTTTGGCATCAGATGTCAAACATGTCACCGGCAACAGTTAAGGAGCACTTTGTTCATTGGTGGAAGGATGGGTGTTCTATCATTGTATGACTGAAACTCAAATATGAAAACTTTGTAAGTGTATGTAGCTCATGGTGATTCAGTAAAGAAAAAAAATGGGAGCACTTTGCTTTCTATGATAATATGTAGAGAAAAGCATCCTACTTGCTTTTTTGGATGATAGTGGTACATTCTCAACTCACCAAGTAAATTAATAGTTCCACCTCAAATGTTCATTTATCAACAATGATCAAGTATAGTTATGGTTACATATGTTAGAATTATTTACATAATGCATGCATTTAATATACTATTATAATTATTCTATAAAATATTTTTGTCTAAATTATATGAATTATAGTTAACAATTCATTAAAGATTAAGTACAGAGTTGGGAACTGGATGAGGGAATATGTTTTTTTATTTGTCAAGATAGGAGTTGCAGCATTCTGGTGTGTATCTAAACCATGCATTTAGAATTGTAACATTGAGCTAAGTAGACAGTGTAGGTGGCAGATTGAAGGTCATATTGCCTTTATGGCAATTACTGGTTAGTAGAATATTTTCCCCAGAAAACTTTGGTCTTTTTCTGAAATTATTTCAGTAAAAACACTTCCACCCAGTATTTTAGTTAGAAACCAAATAGAGTACACTCTTAATATTGATTCTCAAGAATTGCACACAACTCATTTCCTTAGATATATGAAAAAAAAAAGGTCTTACAGATATAGAGCATCTCTTGTCTTAAACACAGAACAGTACAGTCTACAATATTTGTGGTGCAGAGAGGCTATCTCAATTGGAATAGCGATTTTGATTTTTAAACATGAATTCTAGGGTAATCCTGCTTTATACTAATCTTAAATTATTTCCTCTGATCTGACTCATCACTCAAAATCCAACCTAATGGGTTTTTCACAAATTGGTTATTATCAAACTTCTCCTGCTGATGTCATACCCCTCTCACCATTCAAGAACTTACCTCCAAAACAATTCAATGCAACTCGGTATTGCAGTTCCCTTGTTAAGCAACATCTAGAAAAATCTGCATCCTGGTGTCTGTCTTAGTGGGAGAGGGGGTGCAGATCATTCCCAAAGCTGCTTCTGTCTCCTTGCTTAGAAGTCCATGCCAGGGAGGAACACTTCAGATACTCAGCTCCTGTGTTTAAAACTTCTGCTGTACTCTTCCCCCCATCCCCAGTTTCCTCTACCCCTACCCAGAGAAGCTGTGATAAAACTTAAACAATGCAGAACTTTTGTACCTGGACTTGGAATGCAAACACCCATTTGTTTTTTGTTTTTGTTTCTCTCTTTGGCTAGCCCATCAGTCACAGAGGGCATGGAGAGTCAAGTGTGGTTTATTCTGGAGCCCACTTTACACACACCTCAACAGTCCCAGTTTGAGGCTAAACCAAGTTCAGATACTCCCCAGAGACTAGGCTTGATGGGGTCTGACCTCTACTAAGTGAGGTCTTGTGGGAGGCAGATGACTAGACAACCAGTCCCATGATGTTCTGAGCTCCAGACCCACCCAAGATGGCTTGGAAAGGCTTGAGTGTAGCCATTGGCAGGTCTTGGGCATGGTACCCACCTGTGATCAGTGTGACCCAAGATTATGTAACTGAACTGAGTGGATGACTTTCATGCAAATCTGCCCTGCCAGACTCCCTCTTCTGTGCTCCTGCTCCCATGGCTTCTACCTGTCATCATCAGTCCCATGTGGACCTTCTAAGTCAATTCAGAAGGCAGAAAGTCTGTAAAGCCAGGCCTTCTGCATCGTGCACAAGACCAAGATGACAAAGACTTGGGTGGGTGGGGGTGGGGTCTGGTCCTAGCATCTGGCAGCATTCCTATTCAGAACTCCACATAGATTCTCCTGACTTGCAGATTTGGATCTTACAAGCGCTCACAGTTGACCTGGTTTTGATTGCATTGGAGTGATTAGGGAAAGAAGATTGGAAGCCTGGACCATTGTTTTCATATGAATTCCTCAAAGCAACTGTTCTTTTGCCAGAGGTAGATTGGAGCAGTGCCGGAAACTGTAACATCAAATGAGATTTGTGGGCATGTGATCAAGGTGCCTCTTCACTCTGCAGGTCTGATTTCCAGAAGGCAGATGCAGACCTTTGGGCCTCACTGTACCTCAGGCTTCCTGGAGAATTATCTGGAGCCACCATCCCAGGGACGGATGGAAGTTCTCCTGGTCTCCCCCTCCCCCTCCCTTCCCATCACCCTGCAGAGTAACTCTGTTTTCAACTGCTTTAGGAGTTGTGGTTGCAAGTAAGATTTCCTTTGGGAGAAAAAAAATGTCTTGATACATATTTTCATTCCCCTAATTGTTTATGTAATCTACATACACATATGGAGACACACATACATGCACACACTGAATGGTTTTGTTCCCACAATGACACTCTGATTTCATCAGTGGCCATAATCATCCTTTACATCAGGCAGATAAGTCAATCAGAAGACAGTTTGTACAAATTCAAAGTTTTAATGGTTATTAAATAAGAAAAAGGATATTTGCAATATGTACATTCTGTCCATTTAGGATATTGTCAGCTGGCCATGCACATTTTATTGCACATATAAACAGCGTAACAAGAATAGTGATGATGTCTTAGCCATACAAGGACTGTATGTATTTAGAAGGGGGAAAAAAAGCCACTTTACAAAATATTGAAGCCTTTTGTATTATACAGCCAACTTTAAGAAAATACTGAAAATGAATACTAAAAGAAATATCTTACTTTTGAAGGAAAAAATTCTCTAGCAACAAGGATTACAGCACTTCCCCTTGATACAGATACACGTAAAAATATATATTTCATGACTGCATTCTGAATGCCCATCAAGACAAAGCAATCAAAATTTCTATTTCTGAAATCAACCTTTGACTATTGCTTACAATGAATATTCTCTTTGTTCAAAAATGCCTTCTTTCTTTACATCATTATTCTATTTAACAAAACAGTTATTTGTGCAGCACAGGAAAATATTAAAATAGATTTTAAGTTAGGTTAAAGTGCACAGTACATTCAAAAGGAAATAACTGCTAGCTGCCAATCCAAACAAGTGATTTCAATATCCTGTCCAATCTTGTCCAGAGCAGAATGCCCTCTGGGCTCTGGCTGGGAATTGTGTACACTGTGTGTCATCCTGCCAGTGTCTTTTTTTTTTCCACCTTTGTATTTACCTTACAAGTTGTGGTTGCTGCTGCTCTTAAGGCTTTTCACAGAGGTGCAGAGTCAGTCAGCATTCACAAGACTTTGGAGTTTCTGTAATTGCAGGGGGAATGCTCATGCTTGGAACTTCCTGAAAGCGGTGAGTTGTGAGATGTTTAGTGAAGCCAAAGGTGAATCTCTCAGACCAGCATGGGTCCCTTCAACTGCTGGCTCTTATTTTATTGGAACGTATGCCCTCCCAGGTGCCTTCTGCCTCACAAACATCACTTACTTAACCTGGCTTTTAGCTTCCTTAGGTCGGAGCTTGCGTGCAGCTGCCCCACCAATTCCTTATTCACCTTTCTGACTTCACAAGAGAGACCAGGAATCTTGCAGTGTTATATGGATTTCTTAAAAAATAAAACACCACTCAAGTTATAGTAAAAGAAGCATGTTCACAGTCTCAGAATTGCTTCCTCTTTCAAAACTTGCATTTGTGGAAGTGCTGACTTCCTAATCCAGGTCCTATGTACTTTACGGAATTCTTCATCACTCATTCGAAGCTGCCCTTAAAAAAACTTTCTGGTTTAACAAGAAACTTCTCATCACCTCCATTTTCCTAAACCATTTCCTTATTATCTTCCTTTGGTGCTAGACTTTCTTTACCTAAGTTACAGTGCAAAATTATACTTCAAGACACACAACGCTAACACTTCTGCATGTTAAAATGTGAGTGTTTTATGCATAGCAAAATAAGTATGAATCCAAAAAATAATTGTTCACATTTTTTCTTCAAGTTTAATATATCTTTTTTTCCATCACAACTATTTACAAACAACTTTGGGGTGCTCTCTTAATTTTCATCAGTTCATTGTAACATGGGACAACAGGGCTGCTGGAATGTAGGAAACTGGATGGAATGCAGAAATATAAATAAGACCGATGTTCCAGAAAACAAAGTATAAGTAATGCCTCCCCAGAAAAACAGTTCTTGTCACAGAAGCACCTGTTTTAAAATTTTTTTTTCTGAGTTATATATGCCAGAAAACATGATTACTGAGATCTAGGATGACTGCACACCAAAGAGGATAGGAAAATAACTCAATATTTATAATATTAAAATAAAGTGTTTAACCACAAAAAAGCAGTAATAAAATAGTTTCCTAATTTACAATTTGCATCCAAAGGATGAATAAAAACTCACTAATAAATAATATTTATATAAATATTTTTTTGTATGTCGAAAATAGTTTTTTAAAAGGCAATGGTCTCAAGAAACTTCTTGAAAAATTTGGTGGTCAAAACCTGATTGAGTGCCCCTCCCCCCCACTAAATACACAATAAGTTTGGTTTCAATAAAACAAATGCATCTTGCAGCAAAAACGGTTGTGCTTGGTGTTTCGGTAATGGCAGTGGGTGAGTGTGGAAGGGATGAGGAGGCTGTTAGAAGGCCTTGATGTGTTGCTCAGTCCTTTGTCACCATCTCCTTCACTGGTTTCAAGATAAATACCTGTCATGTCCTAAGGTCGGAGGTCAGAGTTGAAGGTAGAAAATCTTCCCTTTTGTCCTCCCTTCAATGCAACTGGAATTAGGGAACTGAGAGGCGGTGAATGGGAGGGTAGGGAGGGAACAGATGCGGAGAGGAGAGCAGAGTCCAGGATCTCAGGATCTCTGGTGGGGCCAGGGTTTATGAGCCAACCCAAAGGAGAAGGCTTGCTCTCATGTGAACAGCGCCTTCGTAACAGACACGTCTAGTAGTGCTTGAACTGTAATGCCCACTTTGACCAGGCCTTTCTCTTCAAGGATGTGATGGGGTAGACATAGTTTTTCCTAAAAAGGAAGAAGAAAATAAATACTAATGTTTAGATGCTCGAACTATAATCAAAGATCTTGCTGTCCCACTCTATAGGTGGTGAGGTTGAGCTCTGAAGGAAGCCTTAACTGTCTAAACACTTCCAAGTGTCTGAGCTTCAGTCTCTACTTTTAACCCAATACTTTTCAACTCAGAGCTTTTCCACATTAGCACAAGTCAGAGTTGATCTAGAAATGTTCCCAACCAACCCGAAACCTAGCAAGGATCAACATTTAATGTTAATGACATTACATACAGTCTGTTGGAAATCACACACCAAGAACATACTAACTTAAATTCTTTTTCTTGTCACACTTTGGGCCACACCTGGCGATGCTCAGGAGATACTCATGGTGAGTTGCTGGCAGTACCAGTGACTGAAACAGGCCTGTTGCATGCAAAGCATGCACACTAGGCCTTTGCATTGTCTCCTTGCCTCCTCTTTTTTATTTAAATTGTTTTTGATTCTTACATTTAAAGCTTACATTCTTACAAAGGAAAACTACCAATCTCACACATATTAAACAGATGTCATATAGTCTTGTACACAGATGACACACTAGTCTATCAACCATCAGCCTTGATTTGATTCATTTTATTTCCAAGGATGTCTATGTTTCGAGATGGCTAAGCTTTCTTCATGGTTTACAAAACAGCCTTGTAAGTCAGTAACTTTTAAACTAAGTCCCTCAATTGCCTCTCCTTTAAGATTATTTAATAAGACCATCAAGGATACATATATCCTGCAACTTTCTCACATTTTATTTTGTCTTTGGGAAATGTCTAATACGTTCCAGTAAAGGATAACAATCCATGTATGTCACCTGCTATAGAACTTTGCTAGTTCAATAAGCTGTTTACAAAATAATGCCACAGCTTGATTTTACACATTTATTATCTGGTCCCAGTTTGTCACCAGTCAAGAGAATCTTCTTCCACAGGGTATCTCTTTGGCTGTGAAAAGACCTTACAGCAAACATTCCTTTTACTTGCAATAGTGCCTTTCTCAATCCGAAGTCCACTTTTTCTAGGGAAAGTCCAACTGGCTCTGCTTCATATCTAGTCAGCGGCGTGTTGAAGCCTAAAGTCAGTAATAGACTATGTCTAGACTCTTGCTTAAGGAACATATCTTCCTGTTTCCTCAGTGAAGGCCTTTCTACACTGTCAGATGGAGTGTTGGGTTCTGAAAAGACCTTCCAAAGACAATGTTATGACATCTCCAATCACTAGATCTGCTGCACCTCAAACCCTCTCTTTTTCTAGTCTCTCAACCATTACATCTAGTCTCTCCAGCCTTGCCTCAATTAATAAGTTGTGGTGAATTCAGAGTGTTCTAGAAAGGCCTTGGACATGGCTATATTTAAAAAGATAACTGGTTCTTGAAAACACAATTTTAGGTATTATTTCATATGGAGCACTGGTACTAAAATAATACCATGACTTGATTTTATACATTTATCATCTGGTCCCAGTTTGTCATCAGTCAAGAGAATCTTCTGCCACAGGGTATCTCTTTGGCTGTGAAAAGACCCTACAATGGTGTTTTAAGAAAACATGCAAATTTATGTTGTTTTCCAACTTAGTAGCCAAATGTCCGCCTGAGAAGGATGAGAGATTCTGTTTGAGGTGTAATCTGGACAGTGAGTTGTGATGGTTGGTGCTTTGTCATGTCACAGGCACTAGTGTCCACCCTTTCCTGACACAATCTAACAAGAGCTGTGAAGTCACTGGAATGTGGCATTTTGTTGCTAAGGGAGCACCTACAGTGTCCGATGAACATCAGACTTGGTAGGGAATTTTATGTGACTCATAAGTATGGTTAAATTCCAGTTACATGGCATTATTGGAGAAATGTAAATTCTTACTTTATACAATTTGCTAAAAACAACTCAAAATAAAGAGTTAAATGATAAAAATAAATACCCTTCCTGATAAAAATATAGATTCATATTTAATGTTTTCTCTGATAATGGAGAAGGATTTTATTCCCTGTAAAGGCTCTTTTAATCACAAAGAAAAAGATAAAAGCAATTACTTTTCTAAATGTTTAAAGCTTCCATGTGATTGAAAAAAAGAAGCATAAATAACAGCAAAAATATACTTGGATCAAATTAATGAGGATTTTGTAAGACATATATATTCAACAGGCTAGAGTGATAGCACAGTAGTAGGGCGTTTGCCTTGCACGCAGCCAACATGGCCGACCTGAGTTCGATTCCTCCACCCCTCTCGGAGAGCCCAGCAAGCTACAGAGAGTATCTCGCCCGCATGGCAAAGCCTGGCAAGCTCCCCGTGACATATTTGATATGCCAAACACAGTAACAACATGTCTCACAATGGAGACGTTACTGGACCCGCTTGAGCAAATCGATGAACAACAAACAGGAGGACCGATCTATGGACCGTGATCTATATATTCAGCAAATCAGTGAGAAAAACTGAGCTCAACAGAAAATTGTATAGGGTGACAAGAATAGACATTTTGGAAAGAGTGATTTTCCCAAGACATACTGAACAAGGCATTTTGCTTCACAGATTTTGTTTACTTATATTTAGACCCAAGGTTCCTATGTCTGTGTGGAACACAGGGTTTAGTGTTAAAGGTTAGTGAGGTGTGCTAACCGGACGCCTACCTCAATTAATGATTGATTCAGCTCCACTTATAAGTGGTGGCTGCAGGCAGAGGTCTGAGCTGAAGCCCTTAAGCTAGAAATCAGGGTGGGGAGAGCTGAGGTTTTCAGAGAAACAGGATGTAAAAGTAGGGAGGCCTCAGCCTCCTGTTAGTAGAGCTTCACAGAGTCAGTTTCTTGTCATTCCTTCTCCTAGCCTTTACTTTTCCAACCAGCATTTCCCACCTTCTTGGTTTTTTTCACTCCTAAACCAGGTTCCACGATTCTTCCACCCTTATGACAAGCAAAGAAGACAGTAAAATATACACCTGCATTCTCTCTGCATCTTTCTTTAAACTCAGACTTCTGAAGAAACCCAAGATGCCCTTGGATTACTTTGATAGGGTTGAGAATACTTAGCAAGAATAGGGCCATAATATAAGGGCCAGAGGATTGCCCCATAGCTGGAATCCTGCCTCATGAGGGGAGAAGAGAAGGCAGATGGAATAGAAAAGGGATCACTAAGAAAATGATGGCTGGAGGAATCAGTCGGGATGGGAGATGTGTGCCGAAAGTAGATAATGGACCAAACATGATGACCTCTCAGTGTTTGTATTGCAAACCATAATGCCCTAAAGTAGAGAGAGAGTATAGGGAATATTATCTGCCATGGAGGCAGGGAGAGGGGTGGGAAAGGGGAGTATACTGGGGAAACTGGTAGTGGGGAATGTGCACTGGTGGAGGGATGGGTGTTTGATCATTGTGTGATTGTAACCCAAGCATGAAAGCTTGTAACTTTCTCATGGTGATTCAATAAAATTAAAAAAAAAATTAAAAGAATAGGGCCATGGAGATAGTACAGGGAAGAAGATGCCTGCCTTGTACATCGTCAACACAGGTTCAATCCCTGGCACCACATATTATGCCCTGAGCATCACCAGGAGAGACCCTGAGCAGGGCTGAGCGTGCACCTTTTTAAAATAAAAACAAAAGGGAAAAATACTAAGAAGATTAGGAGAAAGTAATGGCAACCTTTTTATAAATACATGGTCATTCTGGCTACTCTCCCAGAAAACTGAGTTGAAGCCTCTGAAGGAATAAGTTGAGGTACTTGTTGGTAGGATGAGTGAAGGGAGCCTGCCAGCAATGAGGTGGGAGCATTATACTGTAGGAGAGATCCCTGAAGGGAGCTAGGAGTTGGAAGAGCGAAGTAACTGCAACAAATTTACAGCTTGTCTTGAAAAATGACACAGGAAGGTCCCCTCACCTTAAATACAATGGACATAGGGTGGGAACAGTTGGAACTTTGCCTTGACCTTAAGTGTATTTAAATCTCACTGTCCCATGATCTTGTGGTTTCCTTTGGGAATATGGCAACAGGCTTGCCTAGTCAGGTGCTCAGGTGCACTTTTTGCTGGGTTTCTTTGGAAAACATGTAGCAGACCACAAAAGAAGTGCTCTCCGGAAAAAAAATGCCTCTAAGCCCTCCTGAAGAACTTAAGTTTTATGCTGCATCTGCAGGAGTGAAATCAAATAGTTTTGCTCTATAACCTCACTCACCGCTCTTGTGAACCACACTGAATGGCTGGGAAAGGCAGGTAAGGTGGGAAGACCAATTGCCCACTCTGAGAAAAGGCCAGCCCCTTCCTATATGCCTGTTGTCAATGAATTAGATTTTCTTTTCTTTTTTTCTTTCAGTCTTTGGGCCACACCTGGCAATGCTCAAGGGTGGCTGCTGGCTCTATGCTCAGAAATTACTTCGGTGGTACTCAGGGGGACCATATGGGATTCTGAGAATTGAACCTGGGTGGGCTGCATGCAAGGCAAGCACCCTACCCATTGTACAATTGCTCCAGCTCCCTGCATTAGATTTTCATTGGTTACTTCTTTACTACAACCAAACAATAGAGGTGTGATATCTCTATTTTATAGTTGAGAAAACTCTCGATAGCGTTTAAGTAACTGTTAACGTCACTCAGCTGTTTAAGTACTGGAATCAGGACTTGAGCATGGGTCTCATCACACAGCTTAGCTCTGTCCAGATCAGAAGGCTACTTCCCAGAAATTCCCTGATCGACAGGTGATGTCTTGAGTCTGTGTGTGTCCCTGAAGATGGGGAAAAGATGTGAGGCCCTTGGAATTCTATTGAGGGGGATCCAGCAAATTCCATATCAGGTGGGAAGCGGAGAACTCTCCCAGCTCAGTGAAAGGCGTAAGTGCTGCCGCTCAACATTCCCAGCTTTTCTCTGGCACACACGTTTCCCTGGAGGAGAATACCTCCCAAGTGCATTGTTGTCACTGCCAGCGCCTCCTTCTGTCCTACCTTCTGTTCCCATACACATACCCAAGTCCAAGCAAGCTGCTAAGTG